ATTTCCTACGTCGGCTGTTCCCCTCCCTCACCCCCAGCAGAGCACTTTAGCTCTTTTTTTGAAAACAGAAACCTACAGGCAGGCACCCTCTGCCTCCCATCCTCCTTCTCCAGCCGGCACACTCACCTTCCTTACTACCTGTCCTTGCCTGTTTTCTTTTTCTCCCAGAGCAGAAGTGCCCCCTTCTTACTGTGCTCCACTGACCCCTCGATCCAACACGCTCTGCAGACCCTCTCTTCCCAGCACCACGGCCGACCCTCCACCCTGGGCAACCGATCCACACACAGTTCCTGCACACCATGTCCAGTTCTGACCTCCTTTCCTCAGATTGCATTTCTTCATTGTTGACTGAATATCTTCACTCACATACCGAGTGCTTCCTCAGAGTCAGCGTGTCCATCCAAAGCTGGCATCTCTATTTCTCTCTGAAACATCAACTCCCTCTCATGTTTTCTCTATTTCACTGAGTAGCACCGTAATCCACTAAGTCACCCAGCCACAGGGTTGGGTGTTTTCTTTGTTTGTTTTTCTGTTTGTTGGTTGGTTTATTTTACCTCCTTGAATCGTTCTAGAAGTGTACTGGTCAGTGCAGTAGCTACTGGCTACATACAACTATGTAAACTTGAATTTAAATTGGTGAAAGTAGAATACAATTACAAATTCAGTTCTTGAGTACAGTAGGCACACGGCAAGTGCTCACTAGGCAGGTGTGACCTGGCGGACGGTGCCGATCTAGGCTGCATCTTGCCGTTTTCGCTCCCAGTTCACTGTGTTTGCGCCTCATCATTTCTCACCTGAGCTGTCAGTACCACTCTCGACTCCCTTCTTGTTCTCCCTCACTTCAGTCTGTTCGCTCTTCTGATCAAGTGATCTTTATAAAGCCCTTTTCTCCCTCTGAGAGTCATTAAGGTATAAATGAGAGAAGCAGAGTTCTGGCATTTTAATGTCATTTCCTTACTTGAACCCCTCAGAGCCTCCCCCATTGCCCTTTTCTTTTTATTGCTTATTGAACAAAAACTCAGCCTTCAAGATCGAATCCCAGTGTCTCCTGCTCTGGGGAGGCAGGGGTGAGGCTTCTCTTACACTAGGGCGCTCACCGTCGCACCTCTTCTCAGAGTGCCGTCATTCTGTGATGCGGGGCTGGGCTGTGGGCCCCCGAGAGACAGGAAACTTCCCTTTGTGCTCTACCAGGTTTCCAGTGGGCACAGCAGATTAACTTCCCTTTTGGCATCTGCACAGGTACTGGCTACATACTGACTTTAGGAGGAATGAAAAAATGGCCTTTCAAATCACGCTCTGTGTTGTTGAAGAACTCCAGTTGAGAAAGGCTGTACAGGCTGGTGAATGACCTTCCCACAAGTATCGATTCCTTGCTTAGGAGTAGCTGTGATGCTGCCTATCCCCTGACTCCGAACCACATATTTTGTAATGAGAAACATACAGGGTGGGCAAAGGTGGGTTTTCAGTTGTTCATATGGAAAATATAATGATTAGTAAATAAGAATAAAGTGTGTGTTTCACTCACAACTGTGAACCTACTTTTGTCCCACCCTGTATTTTCTTTAATAAAATATCTTCCATAAAAGACAGGTAGTCCTGTCTGGTATGGCTCAGTGAGTTGGGTATCATACCACAAACCAAAAGGTTGTCAGTTTGATTCCCAGTCAGGGCACATGCCTATGTTTCGGACCAGCTCACCAGTCGGGGGCATGCAAGAGGCAACTGATTAATGTTTCTCTCCCTCTCTTTCTCCCTTCCTTTCTCTCGCTCTAAGAATAAGAAAATAAAATCTAAAAAAAAGAAAAAGGTCGATACGTGAGTTAATTAGCTCCAACTTGGTGGCTTAAAACAGCAGAAGTGTATTCTCTCGCAGTCCTGGAGCCCACAAAATCAAGCTGTTGGCAGGGCTGTGCTCCTCCCTAAGCTCCAGAAGAGATTCCTTCCTGCCTCTTTTAGCTCCGGGCCCTGCTGTTCTTTGACTTGTGGCCAAGCTCTGCCTCCATCTCTGCGTGGCCTCCTTCCCCGTGTCCATCTCCAGTCTCCTGTTCCTGGTGAGGACCCTGGTCGTTAGATTTAGGGCCGCCTCTATATTTAAGGTGATCGCATCTTGAGGTCCTTAATTCTTAATTCCATCTACAAAAACCATATTTCAAAATAAAGCCACAGTCACAGGTCCTGGGGTTGGAACCTGGACACATCTCTTGGGGAACACACCCTAACCTATGACAGGCGAGTGTAAAAGTGAGGCTCTGACAGCAGTGTCTTCCCTTCTGAGCCTCACTGAGGCTGAACCAGCAAACGGGGGCCTTCATTTCCATGCATTTATTCGTGAAATTAAGACACACACCCCCATGGCAAAATCAAGAGGGGAAAGAAGGCTACTTTTACCCTACCTCTGTCTGTCTGTCTTCCTTTCTAGGACAGAATCATTCCACTCCCTTCAACTTGATTTTTTTCAGTGCCTAACAATTATCATTAATAATAAAGCATAGACCAAAATAAGCATGCTGAATATCCTTTAGCTTTCAAAGAAATTCTCTAGGTCCAAAGCTTTTCAAAGGGTAAGGGATAGCCCTGGCTGTGTGCCTCAGTTGGTTGGAGCATTGTCCCGTACACCAGAAAGGCTTTGGGTTCCATTCCTGGTCGGGGCACTTGCCTAGGTTGCAGGTTCGATCCCCAGCTGGATGCATGCAAGAGGCAACCAATCGATGTTTCTTTCTCAAAACGATGTTTTTCTCTCTCCCTCCCTTCCTTTCTCTCTAAAATCAATAAACATACCCTCAGGTGAGGATGTAAAAAAATAATAGTAAAATGAAGGTGGATATGTAGATTTAGAACTCATCCGAAGCGTGTGTGCCTGTGTGCAGACATGCTGTGGAAACAGCTAGATGTGGACGTCTCTGTGTGGTGGGGGAGAACATAGGTGCTTCCACTGTGTCCATTTTTCAGTGTCGTCTAAATTTTCCACACTGAACATGTTTTGCTTTAGTAATTAGAACAACTCTTTAAAAAATATGGAGAGTTTTAATGAAGATTTTGTAGATCACCCAGGATCATTTGTATTTATTTAAAAGCAAGATGAGTGGGCCAGTTGGGATTCTAGGAACAGACCACTGATTGTGTTGCAAATGATTCAGACACTCTTTAGATCTTGGAGTGGTGTTAACATTGTTCATTATTCAGGACCTCAGTAGACTCTCATGGCAGAAGAAATTGAAATCCGTGGTTTTCACCAGGGAGGTTGCCCAGTGCCAGGAAGCTACCTGGGCCCTGCTTCGTTGGGAGGGATCCACGCTATAGCCATTCTTGGTTCCCAGGGCACATTGCACAGTGAGCCCTGCACTCTCTCACCAGCAGTACCATTTGGCTGTGGCAGGTGTGGATTTTCTGGTCTCTAAATTCTTTTGAGCTCAGTCCTGTGTCTGGTGTGTTACAAGATCGACACGTGTTTCCATCAACCCTCAGTCACTGGAAGAAGCCGCAGCAGAGCATTAGGCACCTTTTAGCTGTTTCACTATTGAATGCAGTTTGCTCTGAGGGGATTTTCCTATTTGGTTTCTAATATGTTGATGAATTATTGAAATTTCAATTACTTTTGGTTCCCAATTTAGCAGGATGGAGACATCCAGGAGACTTAGTATGAAAGCTTTCCAGTTGCTTTTAGAAAAGGGTTTGTCTGGAGGGGTTTTGGCGCCGGGCTGGGAGGGGTGAGGCTCTGCTCCTCCCGGGTCTGGGACCAAAGTGCCCCGTGGCCTTGGAAGTCCCTTCGTTCAATTCAGTGCTGCTCCAGGTGTGGGCCCCCGACTGGGAGCATCACCGCCATCTCCCAGGAGCCTGTTAGATATGCAGGTTCCTGGGGTTTGTCCCCATCTACCCAGCATCCCTGAGGCAGGATTCTGTGTTTTTAACAAGCTATGGGGCACTCTGGCACACCTACAAGTTTGGAAGCCCTGCCTTAGATGCCCTGGGGCCAGTTCTTCCAGCAGGGCCTGCCACCCATTTGTAAGGGCCCATGGATGCTGTAGTCAGTTTGCCCTTTAAGCTAGACATTGTAGCTGATGATCAAGGTCGCCAGAAAGGACATTTTCTACCAACCCCCTTCACTTTACTTCGAACACTTTTCCCTTTGTCACTGAGCCGTAGCCATAGGGAAGCAGGATTCGGACATTGAAATTCTGTGCAGGTTAATGTATATTCTACAGGTCATTCAAAGGGCCCTGTCTTTCACTGTCACACAAAAGCACTGTTTAGATATTCCTTCCCACTGCCCCAGGGACAATCTCATCTCCAAGTCCCTGGGGAAGAGCTGAGAGTGCCACCCCTGTCTCTGCACCGTAGCCTCGCCTCCCGCCAGTTCAGCCTCTCACCCGCCCCACGCATACGAATGACCTGCGGCTCCTCATACCCTGGTGTCACCACGATGCCTGTGCCCTTGTATGCGCTGTCCTCCCCGGCCCCGTGCCCCACACCACCCCCAGCAAAGCCAGCCCTCACTCGTCTGACGTAATCCTGTTCACCTGTAAGACTGCTCACTACCCCCACTCTCCCCCTCCCCTGATCATTTCAGATAGAGACATATTCCTCCCCTTCTCTGCTTCCTACACCTCTCTGGGTAGACACTGACAGCACTTGAGGTGCACCGGGCTGGAATTACTGGTCTGTGAGCTCCGAGGTCCCTGAGAGTGGAGATCTCATCCCGGCCTCTCAATCGGCAGCGCCCAGGACAGCATCAGGCGCGTGAGGCTGAATGAATGAACATTTGTTAAAGATGCCATTCTGCCTCTGCTGGAAGCTCCCAGTGCCTTAGATAACATCTTCACGTCATATCTGTGGGAGACCGATGCTGGCCAGTGGCAGGTCTAGTTTAAAGTACAGGGACATTTACGTGGACTCAACCAACTTAGCTTTTCAGGGAGGCTGACCTCTTAGTGTAAAGCAGTGTCCTACCATGGAACTACGGAAACCACCAGCTGTGTCTAAAGGCCTCGTTATTATTTCAGGTGCGAGAGCTTCAAACTCGACTACAGAGCGTGCAGGCCACAGGGCCCTCCAGCCCTGGCCGCCTCACTTCCACCAACCGCCCGGTCAACCCCAGCACCGGGGAGCTGAGCACGAGCAGCAGCAGCAATGACATTCCCATCGCCAAGGTGAGCTGCTGGGGACGGCAGGAACACCTCCCATCATCTGGAAGCAGGCCACTATGCAGGCATGCGATTAGCTCAGACAGCCCCAAGAGGCTTCCCCGGGGTCTCGCACTGGCCTCCTGTGCTCGAGCTGCAGGGAGAGATAACCCACTAATAGTTTTAAGTCTCTTTCAGCCTCAACCTGAACTCCAGCTCTCATTAATCAGCCGGCTGGAGTATGTCACAGCTGACAAGTCACTGTGGAGAGTGAGACGTTCTGTCAGGTTCAGCAATACTAAGGGGTGGATGAAGAGGTGCTCCCTGGGCTGAGGTGTAGCCCAGGAGGGGACGCTGAGTGATGAACCATGATTTCCTCACTCCTAGGACTGACAGCCCTGCCAGCAGAGAAATAGATATTGATGGCCAGGCCGTGGCAGTTGGGAGAAGCAGCCCCTCCCATCTTTGCTGCAGCCCCAGGCTCCTATGTTGAGTCCACCCTAGAGAGAGTATTCAAGTGATGCATCTCTCTCCCCTGGTAGCCGAGCCGGTCTCCACAATAAGATTGGTTCTCAGCCATCAAGTTCAATGAGTCAGGCCACAACAGTGTTTCCCAACCAGAAGTGATTTTAGTCCCCCAAGGGGTACCTGGCAGTGTCTGGAGACAGTTTTGATGGTTACAACTGAATTGCTACTGCATCTTGTAGCTAGAAGCCAGGGACACTGCTGAACATCCTACAACACACAGAACAGCCTCCACAACAAAGAATATCCAACCCCAAATGTCAGTAGTGCTGAGGGTAAAAAGCCCCAGGTTACGTGAAGGGTATAAAAATTGGACAAGTGAGTTGTTTTTAAGATGTTAACCAGTTCCGTTGCCATGGTGAACCGGTGGTCCTGGATAAACAGTGTGAATGGTTTATCTGCAGGGTGATAATTTGCTGTTTTGCTTTTTAAGATTGCCGAGAGGGTGAAGCTGTCAAAGACCAGGTCTGAATCTTCATCATCCGATCGACCAATCTTGGGCTCAGAAATCAGCAGCATCGGGGTGAGTGTCCTCAAGAAGCAAGGCGAGAAAGTCCCCACAGAGCGGCAGGACAGTGGCTAGGAGATGATGGAAAAACTTCTCAAGTTCACCTCCAGCAAACCGGTTAATTATACTAATAAATCATACCTGATTTCCTTCCAAAGAGTCAGATTAAAATGTATAGTGTTTTCCACATGGTGAATTACTTTTTTAGCTTTAAGGGAGATGTTTTTCCTCTACTAGAGACCATTCAGAGTGAAATGATTTAGGTCTAGTAGCTGGTGACGTAGATGAAAGTCTTGACCTATCTGCTTTATGTCACCCTGCTCCCCAGAGACTGAGCGAGTCAGGAAGCTCTAAGAGAACTGCACCTTTTGCACATCCCGCTTGAAAGGCAGCGTGCTGGCCACTGGGGATGGATGCTGCCTTTGAAGGATAGCCCAGTGCTGTGACAGACCAGAACCTTCTAGCCTGGTACCATACCAGAGTGTCCGTGTGTAGAGTCTGCAGACCTCCTAGGGCTGTAAGCTGGTGGATGGAGGAAAGGCAGTAGTTTTAGTTCTCTGGGGGATACCTTTTAGGATTGGGGGTGAGGTTAGAAGGGCCAGCTGTGTGATCTGTAAGGCTGGAGAGAGCCCGGGTAGCGCTTTTAAGGCCCTGATTCAGATTCTGCACTGAGCAAAAATTGCATGCATCAAGATTCCATGCCAGATTTAAGATATGAAATGAAAGGATCTCCTTGGCTATAGCACCGGAGACGAGGGCCTGGAGTGGCAGGGGCTCAGGAAGGGGGAAGGGAGTCCAGGCTCTGCTCCAATCCAGAATGTCTGTATCGGGAGACTGCAGCTGTGTTTTGATCCTGTTTGTGTATTGCTTTCACATCACACAGTTAGAATTGTGTAGAATTTTTATGCTAGAATTGTATTGCACAAACTGAGAAAGATCAGGGTAACCATCTCCTGGTGCCTGGTCCTCAGGAATAGAAGCTTTCAATTGTTCTGCATGCACAGCATGCCTGGGGATCAGTGTCCCTGAAGTGACACTATCCAGAGGGGGATTAATGCTCACCTGTGCAGGTATCCAGCAGCGTGGCAGAACACCTGGCTCACTCTCTTCAGGACTGCTCCAACATCCAGGAGATCTTCCAGACGCTCTACTCACACGGGTCTGCCATCTCCGAAAGCAAAATCAGAGAGTTCGAGGTGGAAACAGAACGCTTGAATAGGTAAGAAGAAATCCTGTGTAGTTGAGTGGTGGGGGGAGCAGCCTTCCCTCCCCTTTGCGAAGATCGACTGGAGTGGGCTCTTGCGTCGTGGCACAGTGATGCTGCCACCGGCTGCCAGGCCGGTGGGTGGGAGTCTGTACCATCTTGCTCGTCTCAGGGGCTTACAGCAAGCAGTCTGGGCTGGCGTCATGCGTGGGAGACCGGACTCAAATGCACAGGGCCTTGTCCTTAAAAGGACCCCACACTTGCTTTACTGCTCTTCTTGTGCCGTTTTCAAGTCTTAATAACTTACGCACTCGGGGCCCCACTTTTTCATTTGGCACTGTTCCTCAGAAACCTTGTTGTAACTCCTGGAGCAGTTCACACAGACTGACGAGTAGGTTGGGATGACAAGATGGAGGCCAAGTGTGCGGGCCTGGGCTGCCGAGAGAAGTTCGGGGATGTAGAGTCAGCATCCCTGGGGTGCGAGGAGGCACCCAGAACCAGCGGAGGCAACCTGATAGAGGCATTCCTGGGACTAAACAAGCCTTCTGGTCTGACCCTCCCTGCTCTCACTGAGGGTCGCCTAATTTCATTTATGGTTTTAACAAATGTGCACACCTCTCTGTTGCTGTATGCTGTCTGTCTTAGAATAGTTTTACCATGTACCCAGTTTTACGGATTCTTCCCCAGTTTCATGACAGAAGTCGTCTTGACTTTGCCCCCCACCTCGGGCAAAGCCGGGCTTATGTGTCATTCCGGCAGTGAGAGACAGCTGCTGGAAAAGGCAAGGAAGGACCAGGGCCCACCCGGGTAACCGCTTTGAATCAGCATCGCCCCACAGTGGCAGAGTGGACGCTGAATCTCACCCCAGTGCGGCGTGGCTGCCCCGACCTACCAGGTCGGGGCAGAGCACAGTGGCAGAGCACAGTACGCACTGGAAAGGCCTATGAGCTCACCCGGGAGAAACGCAGATGCCTTTCCCCATACAGCAGTGCTTAATGCCACTCCCCTTGTGTGTGGCAAACCTGAATAAATTGAATTACTGTGTTAGTCCTCCCTGATTTGAAGCTGTTTAATACAGTGCTTGAGAACTAAGGAAATGTGGCAAATCTAGGTCATTTTAAATCTTGAAATTAAATGGTTTCCTTATTAAATCCAAAATACTTAAGAGTGACAATCCTGATGATTACTTTGTAGCAGGAAAGAAGCAGCCCTCTGAGTGCTGTATCACAAGCCACTGAGTGCTTGAAAATGGGAGCAGACATGCCCTTTGCAATTTAATGAAGTCGGATGCCTTCAGGGGCCCTCCGTTCAGTGAGGGCCTCCCTCTACAGACTCTGGGATTTAACAAGCCTGCTTTGTAGTTGAACTTGGGGGAGGCTCCTTTCTCTGCAATTATGTGCACCTAGGAGAGACCAAAGAAGGGGGAACTATTTGGAGCCTGTAGCTCACATTGTGGTGTTGAACAGCTCACAAAGGGCTCTCACAGACAACCTCTCAATCACCAGCTTGGGAGGGCAGAGTGGCAGTCCCATTTTGCGAAGGAGAAAGCAAGGGCTTCCACAATGAGTGACTCGCCCTAAGTGCAGAGCTGTTAATTAGCCTAGCCAAAAGTCCAAGCCCTGCCCTTTGACCTTACCTCCATTATCCTCTCTGGGATCAGAGCTGCAGCTACAATATGGGAGTCCTTAGAAATAATCTAACAGGATGCCCTCACATCTGTTATTATTTAACTACCTATCGCAAAGTTGGAGGCCTCTTACACTCCAAAAAATGACAGCCTTTAACTGTGTGTGGGGGGCGGGGGAGTGGGGGAGCAGGGTCATACCTAATTAAAAATGCTTCCTCATTTAACCACTGTGTTAAGCACCTACTCTGTGCTAGGCTGTTTGGTGTACAAAGGGAAGTATGACAGACAAGGTCCCTGCTCTGATGGATCTTGTGATCTCTTAGGGCGCTAGGCGAAAAGCAATCAAGGTCACAGGAAAGTTCCAGGTAGATAGGACACTGCGGTAGAGCAACAAGGAGGGCTGGTGTTTCTAGTAGTAGCCAGGGAAAGCATCTCTGAAAAGGGAATGTTTAGGTTGAGATTTTAAGGGGGGAAAGGAGCACCCCTGTGACAAAGTAAGAATTGTCTTGCGGGCCAACTCATCCACCTCAAGGCTGGAAGCACGTTGGCATGAAGTAGGAACTGCCCGAGGCCCGTGGAGCTAACCCAGAGTGAGTGTGAGGAGGGCTGCCGTGAGATAAGGGGGCAGAAGAGTCAGGGCTGGGTGGGAGGTGGATTTGGAGGCCACGGACGAACTTTACTGTTTATTCTAAGTGTCATTCAAAGTTGTGGAAGGGCTTTAAGTAGAAGGAGCAGATCTGATACAAATATTGAAAGCTCAGTCAGGTGTGAGGAATGGAAAGGGGTGGGGCAAGAGCAGAAGCAGGGAGGGTGTGCAGAGGACCGGCGTGGCCGAAATGGGGAAGATGGGGAGGGGTGGGGGTCGTCAGTGTTTGCTGGTGAAATCAGCGGAAACCGCAGCTGGTTAGATCTGGAGATGAGAGGAGGGGGTGGTCTCAAAAGAAGATTATCAAGTGACTCACCTTACGGTTGGGTGCGTGGTGGTGGCACTGACCAAGATGGAGAAGGTGGGGGAGGACGCAGTTTGGGAAAAATCAAGAGTCCCACATAGGAGTGTTAAATTTGAGGTGTCAGTATGGCACCCGAATCGGAAAATCAGGAAACCGCTGGATATGTGAGAGCGGCACTCAGGAGACGTCTGCACTGGAGAAATTCGGGAGCCTTGGGAACGTAAATGCCCGTTAAAGCCATGGCACTGGACACACCTCGCCCGGGGGGGGGCGGGGCAGGGGCATTGACAGAGGAGGGGCTGGGGACAGAGGGGCTGAGGGAATGCCAACACTCACAGGCTTCAGAGACAGTAAGGAGCCAGCAAAGGAGACAGAAGAAACAGCCTGTAAGGCAGGAAAAAAACAGGAGAGACCTGTCGCAACCCAAGGGAGGAAGGAGTGGCCTGTTCACGAGGTGTGGCCTGAGAAGGCCCGTACAATGACTTTGGCCGCATGGAGGCGTATGAGCTGGGTAAACCGTTTGACCTGATTAGTGGGGACCAAATGTTCACAGGAGCAAGTTGAAAAGTAACGAGAAAGTAGGAACTGTGTCAAGAAGCCGTAACGTGACAAGGGCAGAGAAGTATGTTCCATGACACCTTACACTGAACTGACCTTGAAGTCGTCTAAGCCTCGCAGTTGTCGTATACACTCAGTAGGCATCTCCCGTGAGGGGGAGTGTCTCCATAATCTGCTCTCATACCATATTCCTAATATGTGGTTATAGGATCAGTTCTCAAGGCTCATGGCTTCCAAGCTTAACATTTTAAGTGTCACTTGCATTTTGTGTGTGTGAAACCCTCTGTCTCTTTAAGACTTGGAAGTCAGAATTCTACAAACGAGTGTGTCCCATGGAAAATGAACCCTGGTACCTCGAGGATCAGGGTCCTGGCACAGAAAATGAGGCAGCAGAAGGCTTATGTTTTTCTGACTTTGTCACAGGCTCGCCTGCTCTGACTGTGTAGGTCTTTCTGGTTCCTGTAAAGCATGATGTTCCCACTGCCTGTCCTGCCAGTACTTAGCAGCTGCAGGAATGTCCAGCCTGGAAGGAGCTTTGGACTCACTCCGAAGTGCCTGGTCCACTTCCCATTCGGAGGCCTGTGGGGAAGTTCACATTTCACTCACTAATTCATCTTTTGCATCTGCTCTGTAGCTAGTGGTTAAGAGCACAGGACCTGGGGTCAAACTGTGTGGTTCAAACTCCAGGACAAGGTATTTAGCCTTCCTGTGCCTCTACCTCCTCTTCTGAGAAATGGGGATAATAACAAAATTCAAAGGGCTGTTGAATTTGCAAGCAAGTGCTCTGCGAATAGCAGCTGTGACTATGATGCGCTTCTCGTTGTCCCCCCGGCTATTGAAGCATCCCAGTCATGCAGCTCACGGGGCCTGAGGTCATGTGGTTTGCTGCTCTCCCTGGTTTATCCCCAGAGCACATGGTCGATGGCTGGGTGGGAAATAACTGGGTAATTCACACAGAGTTAAGTGATTTTTTAACTTACAGTTGCTTCCTTTATTGTTTCATGTTTCAGTTACATTTGCTAAAATATCTGACACACTCACTTCCTAACCTGCGTTTCCAGCCTGAATCCAGATTAGACCACTAAAATATTGGCAAGTTACTTGTGGCCCTAGTGTGAAATTGAGATTTTTCTTCCTTTGTAGCCGTATTGAACACCTCAAATCCCAAAATGACCTCCTGACAATAACCCTGGAAGAATGCAAAAGCAACGCCGAGCGGATGAGCATGCTGGTGGGCAAATACGAATCCAATGCCACAGCGCTGAGGCTGGCCCTGCAGTACAGGTGGGACACGGAGGGGCGGGGCCTCCTTCCCGTAGAAATGCATCTGTAGTAACCTTCTGCGTGAGGTAGAAAGCAGGCTTTTGAAGGCATGCTCGGGCTGGACCAGCAAACATTAGTGTGATGCATATTGAAAATCAATGACCACCCTTGTAGCAATTAGGAAAATAGGAGTAATGACCGTGGTGTTAGTAAACAGGTATGTTTCTGCCAGCGTGTTCAGCTGAAATATTATTTCACTCAGGTAACATCACTCAAAATATCAATCTTTGCATTACATATTCATTTGTGTTTCTTTCCAGTATTTGTTCATATTCACACATATTTTACATTGTTACAAATCTAGTGCATTCTATTTCTTCAACATGTTACAGTTTTGTGATGTTGGGTAATAGTCTCCATTTATTTTGAATGGCCGTGTCCCCTGTATCAAGTCTGTGTATTGTCATTTTATTTACTCATTTCTCTAAAAGACTTTTTTCACACTTTGACATGGAAAATAATTCTATGTGAATAATTTAATGCAGATAATATCCTTATTCTTTGTACCGTTTCCCTCGGGATAACATCCCTGAAGCAGGTCAAAGGACAAGAATATTTTCATGGCTCTTCGGGCGTGCTGCTGGCTTTCCCCCATAGAAACAAGCCCGTTTAAGTGCCCACGACGCACTCAATGATGAGCAGGTGGTGTAGGAGTTCACCCCTTTTATTCCTGCCCCATCAGCTGTGGAGTTTATCTATTTTTAAATGACTGCTTTTTAAATAGCTGAAAAGCTCTGCTTTATGACTGCCTTTTAGAGGTTTATTTTATTGGTGCCACTACTCAGGCGTGTTTGCCAGGAGCCCAGTGTAGTGACTATATCTCACTCTTGGCATCCTCTAAAAAGCTCAGTATTGTTTCAAGAAACATTGTTTCTTCAGAAAACAAAGTCAAACCACAGCACACAGAACCAAAGCTAGAGAGCAGTCGCACTTGTTTACAGACACACCAGAGCAAAGCGATAACCCGACTTTGATAACTCTGGAAGCAGGCTGCTCTGCACCCACATCTGCCTGTCTCCCTCGGGCACGAAGCAGTGTCCCGGCGTCTCCATACTGACAGGCGGGCGCCCTGGAGGGGAGCCGCTGCCCACACCCAGGGCTCCCGGCTGGGCCCTCTTCCTTATCTCAGTAAAGGAAGATGGAAGCAAAGGCAATCAGAAAACAGATGGCCCAATGACTAGATGCTGAGTTAAGCAATATTTCCCCCACTCAGCTGGGAGAAGCTAGTAGGTAATTTGCTTCGGGCAGAGGTTCAGTGCATCCTGTCGGGGACCGCACAGGCAGTGTGCGTGCGCCCCGCATCCTGTGCAGACACGGGTTCACATGGGGTCACCAGTGGCAATGAGAAAGGGGTCACTTTTGGTCCTCTGCCTGGTGTGCCCGTGATGGTGGGCACAAAGAAAACTAACATTTTGCCAGAGATTCTGTATTTCATGACACAGTTTGACAAGCGTCAACTAGAGCTGTGGGGATGGAGCTGTTCTCTGTCTGTGCCATCCACTATGGCTACTGCAACCAAGGAACTGAATTTTTCACTTCCTTTAACTTGCAGTTTTTCCACTTAAGTAGCCACATGTGGCTAGTGGCTGCTGTGTCAAATAGTGCAGATCTAGATCAAAACAGTCTCCTTTCTGCTCAAAACAGTCTCCTTTCTGGAGTGTAACAGTAGTGAACTATTATTGTATAATTATTATTATGTCACAGTTTTTAGGGTCAGGAACCCAGGTGGCTCTAATTCAGGGTCCCTTACAGGGTTCTGGTGAAGCCATCCACCAGGACTGTCATCAGAACCTTTAACTGTGCCTGGCGGCTCATTCACATGGCTGTGAGGTGGAGTCCTCAGCCCGCCACTGGCTGTCCGCCAGAAGCCTTAGCTTCTCACCCCATGGGCCTCCTGTGAGGCTGCTTGAGTGTCTTCACGACAGGGCCTCCTCCAGAGAGGGTGAAAAAGGGCAGGGCGAGAGTGACCGAGACGGAAGTCACAGAGCTTTTAACAATCCAGTCCTGGCTGCAACATGCCACCCCTGCTGCCGTATTCTTTTGGTCACCCAGACCAGCCCTGGTGCAGCGTGGGTGCCAGCACCGCAGGCTGCAGTACCTTTCCCTTGCAGCACATCGTGCAGAGGGCAACAAACTTGCCTCTCCCACGTGTGTGGTGTCTTGTATTTTTCTAGATGCTAGTTTAAAGCGAAAAGGTGGGGGTGGGGCACAACTCAGCAGAGCACGTCCTGGCCCTGTCCAGGGTGTTTCTGTGCTGACAGGGCGGCCAGGCTGAGAAGTGGATCTGGAGTGGGTGGGGCGGCCCTGCGGAGAAGGGGCCCGTGTTTGCCACAGCTGAGGCGCTCGTGCTTGTGTTTCAGCGAGCAGTGCATAGAAGCCTACGAGCTCCTCCTGGCCCTGGCTGAGAGCGAGCAGAGCCTCATCCTGGGGCAGTTCCGGGCGGCCGGCGTGGGGTCCTCCCCGGGTAAGTGTGGCCCGAGCCCCTGCCCCTCTTCCTTCTTCGGCTCTGCTGCCCCCATCCCAGCTGTGGGCACCCGAGCACTGCCCCGCAGCGTGGAACTCACTTCTCCAGTGTTTTTCATGTTCCCCTCATGACTGAGTGAGTAAATTGTTTATGTTGAATGCAGCAGGAACTGGAGTGGTGAATCACTCATATGTTCCAGCAGACCCACCCTCTTAGGAAGCACCTCCTCCCAGGCCGGCAGGAGGGCCAGGCAGAGCGGGAGGCCCTCCTCCAGGGCGAGAGGGACGGCTGTGCCAGGCTTCTCTCTGTGCTGCTGCCCACTCGGACTGTGCTCGCCTTGCGGCTGTAGTTGGCTGCACTTTTTCTCCAGGTTTCTCCCTTCGGGTAGTTTTGAAGCATGAGTGTCCTCCTGCCCTGTGTGCAGGTGTCCCGTGTGCGCAGAGGAAGTGGTTTCCCGCTGCTCTCAGGAGCTCCCTGGACTGCTCGCCCCACGCCTGGCCCTGAGGCGGAGCGGTGCTGTGCACCCGCCCCCCCATCTCCCCACCCCATAGTCCCAGGTCCTTTTGGCCTCATTTGTTCCTCCAGACCTGCGCTGCTCCCCACTTCTGTCCCTCAATTTTAAGTAACTAGAAGGGAGGGAGTATTAATTGGAAAAGACACAAGTGTGGCATCCTGATTAGCGACATTCGCTAAAACTTCACCAGTGACTGCGGACCTGGTCCTTGCAGTAACGGGAGGAGGTCTGCCGCAGACATGGTGCGTGAGAAGGAAGGGAGATCCAGGGAGAAAGGGGGACCCCTCAGTGCTCAGGCCTGGAGCCTACGCTTTACAACAGCAGCTTCTTTGGAGAAGTAACAGCAAGTAGACAGAAATCTGAAGGGACTGGATCACTTCTTAGCCAGAGATGGGTGCTGGTATGTGTGCATAGACCAGGGGGCCTCAGCCATGGGTACCAGGCCATCAGTCAGAGGCTGGCTTTTCTTTTTTTAAGATTTTATTTATTTATTTTTTAGAGAGAGGGCAAAGGAGAGAGAAAGGGAGGGAGAGAAACATTGATGTGCAAGAGCTACATCGATTGGTTGCCTCTTGCACACCCCTAACTGGAGACCTGGCCCACAACCCTAGCATGTGCCCTGACCAGGAATCAAACTGGCAGCCTTTTGGTTCAAAGGCCAACCCTCAGTCCACTGAGCCACACCAGCCAGGGCAAGGACTGGCTTCTCTTTAAGAGCTATGAGACACGCCTGGCAAAGGTCACCATCAGGGCACCTCCGGAATGAATCCCTCCCATCTTTGCCAGCAACTCCCCCACCCTTGTCTAGGGTCTGGCTTTTGCACGGAACATGTGCATATTTTTTCTCCTTCGGTTTTGACATGTGCAGGGATCTGAAGCAAGTCGAAAGGAAAGGAAGTGTCCTGGGCATTAATTTCCTGCTTTATATCCAGCTTGCACAGCGGGGCAGCCGGCCCCCGTGTGTGCGGGTGACCGTCCTCCACGCCCCGCTCAGCATTTCCTAATAGTATTGCCATCTCAGCCCAGAAGTAGAAGCTCTGCCAGCATTTCCATTAGAAACCTCATTTTTCAGGGTCTTTTAACTGAACTGTAAAACTTTATTCCTCATATTAAACAGATACTAAACTGATCTTGGCCCGCTGTCAGGTTTTTTAATATATGTATTAAGAAAACCGATCAATTAAAGGGGGAAAAAATCAATCATCTTATTTCCAGTTTGTATAGGAGGAATGTTTTAAACTGCTTTGTCCTTGAAAGGTACCTTTTATTGGGCTTGTGTCTACTCATCACAGTTACTTGGTAGGAGCTGGAAAATGTTTTATTTGTGGAAGGAAGAAAGGTGTGGAGGTTTTGAGAGAAACGGCCTGAGGGAGGCCCGGGAACCTGAGCCTGCAGGGTGTGCGCACCTACGCTTCCCCCCACTCTCCAGGAGGCTGAGAGGTGGCTTATTTTTTAGTCCTTCCCTGGACACTTCACTCTCCCATCCTGCTGACAGGCCCTGAAGGGCTATATAGTTGCACCGCAAAGCAGGGCTAGTTTGTGACATTTACCCATAGTGCCACTTATTGTGGGTTTTTTCTTTGTCTCTTGGTTGACAGTGCAGGCGCCGGGTAAGTTCACTGTGGATGTATTAGACAGGTGCTTTTTAAACCGTGCCCTGGGAGCTACAGGAGTTTCTTTGGGCCTCAGCAGTGGGCTTGGCGGGGGTGGAGCGGCCACAGAATGAAGTGGCCACCCCTGGCCACTTCGGCCAGTTCCACATTTACTATTTTTGTATATTAGGCTCTGGCGTAAGGTTTTCATTGACAATATTTGGAAGGCCGTGCATCTAGGCTGTAGAGAAGGCAATCTGGTTGACCTGTCGGACCAGTACAGTTTTTAAAATGCAACAAGAAGGTGAAGCTCTGGGCCAGGGGATTCACTGGCTTCGGGTGGGCGTCCTCCACCCCGGACCTCTGGCTGCAGCCCAGCTGCCTGGCCCCTGGAGGCACAGAGCTGCCACTGGCCACGACAGACCCAAGACAGAGAGGTCAGGGATAGTGTCAGCACAGAAAATGCAGGGCCAATCTGAAGTTCCCACTTTAACCATTAGGTTTGTCACCGTTGCCCATGCGAAGCTCTAACCAAAACCATGGGCTCGGGAAATACAACCCAGTTTTCCCTCAGGCTGTCCCTGCAGTCCTTCACAAGGACATGCCCACATGGGGAAGAGCGGCCAAGCAGTTGGCTTGTAACTGGGTGGGAGGAGAAGCCAGGAGCCTCGATAATTAGAAAATCCTAGCATGGTAGAGCTGGAAACAGGCCTCAGAGGTCACATCGGCCAACCCTTCCTTTGCTGACAAGGACAGCGGAGCCGGAGCAGAGGAATGCTTTCCTGAGAACAGCCTCTGAGTGACAGAGCCGGGCCCAGAGCACGGCCATCCACTGCTGCCTCTCCACCAGGCCTCCGCTACCCCTCCACCGAGTAACTGAGAAGTGATCCCCCACGCTTGTTCCCAGGCTTGTCTCACCTGGATCTGTGTTCATTAATCCATCGCCTTCTCTCAGGAGACCAGTCAGGGGATGAAAACATCACTCAGATGCTCAAGCGTGCGCACGACTGCCGGAAGACGGCTGAGAATGCAGCCAAGGCCCTGCTCCTGAAGCTGGACGGCAGCTGCGGGGGCGCCTTTGCCGTGGCCGGCTGCAGCGTGCAGCCCTGGGAGAGCCTGTCCTCCAACAGCCACACCAGGTAATGCTCGGCCTGTCTGCGGCGAGAGGGGAGGGGCTGTGTCCTGCCCTCTGCTCACTGGGCTCCGCAGGCAGGGACCCTGGCCTCTGCGGCCTGCTGCATCTGGGGAGGAGTTGGAGAAGCAGTGTGGAGAGCTTCTCATTTGGCCTTCTCATTTGTGGAAACTGCAGCCCAGGGAAAAGGGGATGTTTGTTCAAAAACAGTGGCGGGCATGGAACCCACACCCACCTTCCTGTCAGGGGCTCTTTCTCCTGTTTTTCTTCCGTCCTCCACTTCTTTACAGTTCTCCATTTCCTAGAAGCATCCCGGGCATCTACTGGCTGCAAAGGGTCCCTAATCACCCGAAGCCCGTACCACTGCATCGTGTCCCAGCCTCTCTCTCCTCCCTTTGTCTTGCGCCTCTGTCTTTGGTCAGCTGCTCTCAGGCAGTAGTAGCAGCCCCCTCTGTCTCATCTCTGTCTCTCAGAGCGACACCATATTCCTAGCATGTGCTTATTTAACACGTACTTAATCATGAATCTGAGTTCAAGTTTGCGAATATAGAAAACTGAAGTGAGTTCTTGAAAAAGACGAGGAGAAAAGCCATGGAGACCCACTAAGTATAATTTGCTGAAGCTTTTGGATTCTTTTCGATGGGGGCCAATGAAACCTGTCTAGTGATCTCACTTCTTGCCACCGAAGCCCTAAAGATGTGAATGCCTTCCATGTGTATACCAGTTCTCGGTCTAGGAAGGTCGTTGTTAGAGGTTCTTATTTGAGCACCAAATCTTAAAAGACGGGAAGGGTAAGTTGCTCCCATTTTCACAGGGGAAAAATCCTTGGCGTAGAGATAGGTAAGTGACTTGCCTAAATAAGGTCATGGTCACAGGACTGGTAGGTAGATCAGGGGGCATCAGGACTTGAACCAGGACGTCAGCACCGAACATGTTGTTGTTTCCACCAAACCAGGGTGGGTCTCGTGTCACGGAAACACAGTGCCTCCTTGCAGGTCAGGTGACTCGAACCATGTAAGGAGAGCTTGACTCTCAAGAGCTAAAGGAGAGATACTGATGTTTTCCTGGTGCCTAAAAGCAGTTTAACTTTTCATCTTTCCCACTGGCAGGCCACAGCCATCTGCCCACGTGGCTCCATTTACCTGTCCTGCACCTGGTGCCTCAGGAAAGGGGACATTCCCATAACGCACTTGGCCAGGTGCCCGCAAACACAGGGGACTGATTTTCTCTTGACCCCAGCAACAAATGTCTTATTCAGGGAAGCACAGACTATAATTTATGTTTTTCTTAAAACCAGATTCTTCTGTCTGAACGCAGAAAGCAGATGCTCTTCTTAATGCCTCTTCCAGACGTGCATGATCTGTGATTTCCATGTTCGTCTGCAGTAGAAGGTAGTTCTTGCTCTGTCGGTGACCTTGTTCTGTCGAGTGGGTGAGCCTAGAGCTGGGTTGGCAGGAAATGCGTGCTGTTTCAGTAGCCTAGAAGGCGAGTGTTTCAGATTTTTGCACACACCTTCCCTACCCCAAAAATAATTTTGTTGTTTTAATCCAAATCAGAGACAAATTCGGCAGGAGTGGAAACTCGCACCATCCATTCAGTGGAAATGCTGGTTTTGAATGTGTTAGCACTACTTTAACATACAGATGAGCCTTGATTTTGAGGCAGTTTTCTTAGAGACACTTAATTTTAGGTGAAGTACCTCTTCAGCTTGTGATCAGTTCAGCACCTGGCCTCCCCTTTCAAGGACGACCTCACTGAAGAGCAGCCCCGAACAAACGGTGGTCTCGAACGGGGCTTCCCATCGAAGCACAGAGGACTCGAGCTCGATTCCACGCTGCTCTCCTGAAGAGTCCACTTCCGCCCTGCCATCCGAGCCCGAGCCGCGCGGGCACAGGAGCGCGCACACGGGGCTTTCACGCGCATCCTGCCTCTGAGGTTGTGACGCGGCGGGACGACGCAATGCCACACACGGGCGCAGAAGCCACTGGCCCCTTTCATAACCGTAATAACGCACTTTGTCTGCAACCGCTGTCACCCCAGTGTGACAGCATGGTGCTCCGGCGCCTGCTCACATGTCCTCGCCGCCTGCTCACACGTCCTCGCCGCTGACCTGGGAGGTTCTGTGGGAACGAGGGACAGAGCTGACATGCTTTTTCTTTTCTTTAAGACCTAACTTCCTGACTTCGGAAGAGTGAAATGGTTGTTGCAAAAATAAATAACTGAAACCAAGCATTACATAAAGTTCTCCGTGTTGCGGCCTTCCCTGGGAAGGACACTCACACAGTCTGGGGAGTATTTCCACAGACGGAACTGTTCATTTTCTATCAGTGAAGACCTCTGGCTGCCAGCAACAGAAAGGGCCAAACAGCTGGAGCGAAGAGAGGTCTTGCTGGAAGGACATTTATCGGATCTGCCACGCAGGAGCTGCGTCCGAGGCTGACGGCAGGAGACTGTGATGAGACTGAGCCTCGGCAGACAGGCCCACGCACAGCCGGGCCAGACCGCATCCAGCTGTGCGGCCTGACCCCCCCACACTGGCTTTCATCCCCTCCCTCTGCAGGCAGGCTCCCTGGCAGCAGATCACCACACAGCACCTGCATCTGTGTGCAGGCCGACGGGTCTCCCTGGTGTAGTGTATGAAGAGCCCGGAAGGCACAGCTTACCCAGATAGGCTTGAGTGCCTCCCCCCAGCCCCCTCAGGAGCCCCACAGATGGAGAAGAGAAGGGGCAGGCCCCAAAAGAAGAGAGAAGGAGTGTACGTGGCAGAACAAAACACGGCGTCTTTGAAAATAGGACCCCGTCTGATTTTCAGGCTCACAGGGTTCCTGTCACGTGGACTCTCCTGAAACTTGCTTTCCTCTTCACATTGTCTGTCAGACCTCTTTCCACCTGTCCTCCTCCTCAGTGGCCGCACAGTTCTCCTTCAGACAGCAATCCATTGTGCATTTGAACAGCTTCCTCCTGGTGAGTGTTCGTGTCCAGCTTTTCACCCTGGGGACACTCTGCAGCTACCGTCCCAGTGCGCTGACCAGAGGTGATGGATGTCCAGCAGCCTTCCGTGCGTGGTCCAGTTACTCCACAGCCTGCGCCCGAGAGGGCCTGTTCCTCCACAGCCTCGCTAAAACTGGGTGCCATACATTTCTTCCAGTTTAGCTAATGTGTAGGAAAACCATACCCTTTTAATTTGTATCTCTTAACTATTGGTGATGTTGAAAATCATTTATAATGTTAGATTTTCCTAATGCCAGGGACATGGTTGGCAACAGTATAGCTGCCTGGCCTACTAGGGCCTGTCTTAGTGCATCACCAGGGACCAAGCTGGGAGAGGGCGTGTTTCCCGAAGCCTGGTCTCCAGCGCCGTGCACTGGCATCTTGGGCAAGGGCTGCAGAAACACGGGCTGTGTCTCCGCAGTGCCTCGGTGTCTCCCGTGGACTTCCCCTGTCAGCGGCGTCTTCCGGAGCTTTCTGGCACCGGGCAGTTTTGAGGACTCCGGTCCTCTGGGAGATTTCCCCACACCCACGTTGTGTTGCCTAATTTCTCTTCAGCTAGCCCCCACCTATCTTCCTAGAGAATTCTGATAACCATTCGAGAGCGTTACAGACCTCAGAAGTTTGGTTGTGTTTCATGTTTTTAGTCCTCTGTGACAAAGAATTGTCGGGAGCAGAGAGGGAGGGAGTGAGAGGAAGGCGGCACCGCCAGCACAGCACTGAAGACGCAGCGGTGGGCAGTGTCCACCCTCCTGCTGGAGACTGGGGCCACTCTGGAGTGGCAGGCGTGGCCAAGTGTCGCCTGGGCCGGCCCCTCCTCCAGATACGTTTAAAGTGGTTAGAAACACAGAGGGCCAGTCTTGTAGCACTTTCCTTCTGGAAATAAACTGCTCCCCGGTGCAGTGGGATCTCGGCTGAGGCCAGGGAAAACGACAAAAAAAAACAGGAAAAAATCCATCACTGGATTTCAAGGCAAAGGAAATGCCCTTCTAGCTCTTTACCAAGACAAGATGAGAAAGCTCAAGAAAAGTGTATTTTTCTCCTGAAAAGCAGGATAGGGAGTTGTCCTGAGCACAAGGATGGGACCTGGTGGAGAGGTACAAAGAGGATCATTGAAATCAAGGGTGACTTGAACCCACCTGCACCCATGCCTCGTGGCCAGGACCCTGGCTGCAGGCCACCTGGGTGCTCTTTGTGGGAAGAGCCACCTGCATCTCAGAGACACAGAGCAAAGCCACGTGAGAGAGCTCAAGCAGAACATCACGGAAAGGACACCCCCACACGACCAGGCCCAGCACCTCGCACAACCAGAGCAAAACACGGAAGTGCATCTCCACCACCCTGGATTTTTCCGTTTGCAGCCCTTTCCACAGCCCCTCTCAGAGAGCACGGATGGCCTCCCGCCCTGCCAAGTGATTTATTCAGTCTTGACAACTGAGATCATCCAGCAGGCCGAGCAGGAGAGTTAATGGATGACTTAAGCCTCACCCAGTGCCGGCAGCAAGCCCTCGGGGGACCGGCAGCGCCTTTGTCTGCAGGAGGCCAGAGAAAAGGCCAGTGGCTTCCCCCACTTCTACCACCTCATAATCATATTCCGAGGTGGAACATTAAGGGCACAAAGCAGGACTGTAATTAACCTCTCCTGATCTGCTCCCCTCCACTGTCCTGGAGGAGAGAGAGAGAGGGAGAGGGAGAGGAACCCGAGGGGCTGCGGGGCTGTGGTGCTTATCTTGAAATTAAACTTTCCCCTGGTAAAAGCACTTTAGAGCTCTGTGCTTCTGATGGGTGGGATCTGGGCAAGGAGGTCTTTTGTTCTTTTTTCATTTTCCTCCTTTCTGAAAACTACATCCTTAGCAGAGGCGGTGACACCAAAGCCCTCCTGGCCGAGGATCAAGTCCCGGCCCTAGAGGGGTCCAGGACACCCCAAAGCCTGCTGGCCTCTGCCGCTCCACACTTTTGTCTCCCAGACGGTTCTAAATGGTTTCTCAAATTAGGCCAAGCACTAGCTGCTTTGACCCTCAGACGGCTTTTCTGGATGACCCGGCAGGCGTCTGACATCTCTAGCGGGAGTCCCTGAGTCTAGTGCTGGATGCTGCGGGGCCATGGGCATGGCTGCCCCTCCCCCCCAGAACAAGTGCCCTGTGGCGGCACTCGCTGCTTCTGCCTGTGCCCTGCCCGTTGTCTCCTTTCCACTGTCTGGTGACATGGGGACGATGAGGGTCCCCACTCTACCGCGGCACAGCAAGCTGGGCGATTTAGTCTGGGCCCTAGACCTAGGCGGTGTCAGAGACCGGCTTATCACCACTGGCACCCACTGCATCAGCCCAAGCACACGGCGTCCTCTGCCTAGGGAGTTTGGTGCGGTCCCATTACCTTACAAGCTGCACTGCCAGCACCTGCTTATCTTTGGGGTAGACCAGTTGTTCTCCAACTTGGTTGTGCCTTCTAACCACTGGGAGGGTGCACTGAAATACAGCTCATGAGGCCCCACTCCGGAGTTCCCCATTCCTGCTGTCTGGTGGGTGGGCCCCGGGGACGTGAGTGCCTGCCAAGTCCCCAGGTGGCGCTGCAGGGCCAGCCCAGCCACGGCCCACAGTCCTGGGGTGGACCAACCCCACCAAGTGGGAAGTCTACCAAAATATTATCACTTCAGTGCCTGCAGAATAATTAGCGAGCTCTAGCTTCTAGTGCTCTTTGAATTTCAGAGATTTCTCTCAGTGTAAGGAGACAAAAAACGCCTCAAGAATAAATGTGTTTCTTAATAAGTAGTCTGAAGAAAACATGACCAAAGAGTCATCTGGGTAGCAGGTACATGGGTGTTGGGTATTCTCTGTGTTTTTCTGTGTGCTTAACGTTTTTCAAAATGATTTCTAACGAAAGGAAAAACTAGGGTTGTAAAGTGGGCTTCTGGCCCTGAGTCCCGGCTTCATGGGAGGGTTTCGTGCTGGAGCCTCCTCCCCGCTCCCAGGGAGGGCAGTGCTGCTCTTCCCCAGCATCTCGCTATCGGGGCCGTGCACCCACGAGCATGTCTCACACGCAGCCCCAGGGAATGCTTTGTGAGCAAAGCCAGCACTTTGGCTTGCGTTGATTTCGAGCTCATTTGTCGGTAGAGCATGAGACATCTGCCTCTCTGCGTCAGCGTTGACGGCCCGTGAAGGTGTCCTACTTGAATGGTTTTGCCCACCAGTGAGCTGTTTACAGGCAGGTCTTTAGGTCTTGACTGAAGACCTCTGAGATGCTGAGGGAGGGGCCCTTGTTTTCTCCCTTGAGTGAGACCCTCTCATTGGGCAGCCACCATCCTCAGATGCCCCCCGGGCTCCCTGGTGCCCTCTGCCAGGGATGCTGTTTATTCCCTCAAGCTTCTCTTGAGCTGCTTCCTCTCTTTATGAAATTGCACCTGAAGTGTTCCCACTGCAAGGTGTTGTTCTTCTCACTCCTTTTTCAGTGCAGCTGGAGAAAACATAGCAATGATGATTGATAATTCTATCCTCCTTCTTCCCTGCCCAGCCCTTGCCATCTCTCCCCAAGATTGATGGCAATAGCCCCTGGGGTCCTTAGGGGGTCTCACCTCGGCACAGCAGGCAGAGGGATCCTATTAAATGTAAGGCAGATCCTGTCAGGGGAAAGGACACAAACAACCTTTATAAAACTCTCCGTGACCTGGCACCCTGCCCCCCACCACACACCCCCTCCTGTTGGACCGATTCTCCTTCTCCCTCTCCTTTTGCTGACTCTGATGCAGCCCCGATCTCATTCTCGCTGGCCAAGCTCATGGTCTCGGGGCCTTCACAGTTGCCCAGTCCTCTGTCTGGACCTGTCTTCCTCTAAATACCCACATGGGTCCCTTTCTTGCCTCCTTCAGGTCTACTCCAATGTCACCTTATCCTGCAGGCCTTCCCTCCAACTCTGTTTCGAGGAATAAGCCATTTGCTCTTTGCATTCACTGTAACTACTTCATTTATCTCTGTGGCGCATCTCCCTGCCTGGCATACTGTGTGTTTTACTTGCCCGTCTCCCCTGTGGGAGTGGGAGTCCCACTGGGGCAGCGGTTCCCCAGGGCCTGGAGGAGTGCCCTAGAGCAGCTTCTCCAGTGTTTCTGGAATACAGTCATGACAGCTGCCTCTACGGGGTGCGTACTGCGTGCTGGGCACCCCTCCAAACACCGACACTTTCCCCCATCCAGTCCTTCCCACAACCTGTGAGGCGTGCTCCGTTGCTGCCTCCCTGTTGCAGGTGAGGAAATGGACACAAGGAGGGTGAGTCGTGTTCCCACCACAATGACAACATGTGTAAGCTGCGGGGGTCGCAGGTAGAGGTGGTCCCTCTGTCCTGGGTTCTGCAGAGAATGGAACCCACGGGGTGTGCGTGCGCACGCACATGGATGTATGTGTGTGGAGAGAGAGAGTGACTGCTCTTAACAACTTGGCTCATTTGCTATGGGAGCAGGCAGGCGGGCCGAGACCCAAAAAGTGTTGGTGTTCAGTCTGGAGACTGGCTGGAGGCAGAATTTCTTCTGTCTTTGGAGATCTCAGTCTCTCTTCAAAAGGATTTCAAGTGATCGCGTGAGTCCCACCCCCAGGAGGCTAATCTGCTTCACTCAGAGTCCACTGCTGGGAGTGGTGTCCGCATCCAACACAACCTGCACCGCAGCCTCTGAGCCCCAGGCGCCACGGCCTGGCCCCCCTGCTGCCTGGAGTTAACTGTCACAGCTTCTGAAGAGGTGTCATGTGGCGGTGAGCTGACCTTGACCACTTCATCTCCATGGCCGTCCTCCCTGTCTGGTGGGGCAGCCCCGGGGAGTTTCTCGTGTTCCTGTCCTAGTAGGAAGGAGTTCTCTGACGTGAAGATTCCCCCCAGACGCTGAGATGTTCTCTTCCTCATGTATGGCTGGCTTGATAACATGTCACACACAGAAGTGGCATGGCCTTTCGTCACACCTTGGTTATGGGGACATTACATCTACTGAGTTGGAGGCCTTGTCACGCCTGTCCAAGTGTAAGCGGAGGAGGAGAGGCCCAGGCTCAGGGCAGCCAGCAGCCTGTGGGTGTCCCTCCCTGCTCCTCGCACTGGGGATCCTAGGGAGATGGGCTATGGAATGAGAAGGCCGTGTGGCCTGAGCCTAGGTGCCCGGGTTTCCAGCTTCTTGACCAGATAAAGTCTCTGAGCCTCAGTTTCCAAATCTGTAATGACAGAGATAATACCTCTCATTCTATGGGAGTTCAGTGTTCATCTGGGAGCTCTGCCAGATTTTGGCCATCTTTCCCCAGCCCGTTCCATGAGGGCTGCATCTAGCACAGGTCCGTCCTGGGTGGGTCCAGAGAAGCTGTGGGAGGTCCACACTGGCCTCCAATGCCCATGACTGACTGGGTGGAGTGGGCCGCGTTCTGGGCCTTGGGCGCTGCCTGCCCACCGCTGGAAAGGGCGGGACCTCCTGAGAGCTGCAGCGTCAGCGCTGCTGCAGCGTCCCCCTTTAACAGTCCGGGTCCCACGGAACCTTCATGGGCCACCCCGTTCCTGGGCTCGGCCTCAGGTCAGGCAGTACCTTCCCGGTCATCATCATTCAGTGTGGGTGGTCAAGAGCCCCGGGGGCCGATGTGAGTCCCCGTGGTGGACCCTACACTCAGCTGTGAACCATGGGGAATGGCCAGAAGGCCCACAACACCCTGCTCCCTGCGCAGTCATGGCGGTGGTCTGCACTGGGGCGGTCTTGGCGCACGGCCTCCCCTGTGGCCCCGCCCCTGCCCGCTCTTCCCACGAGGGGGCGCTGTCAGCAGGCAGGGCGCGTGTGAGCCCGTGTGTGTGTGTGTGTGTGTGTGTGTGTGTGTGTGCGCGCGCGCACACAGTCTATAGGTCACGCCATAGGTATTTTGTTTTTCAGCTTACTTTGTCCCTTAACACACCCCTTTCTTAAAGTGCTGTCTACATATATACTTATTTTTATGGCTCGCATATGATTTTCTATCCTGTTTCCTCACTTAAAATACATCCACCACTGTCATCATTAGTACTCTCACGTCCAGTAATTTCTCTTCTCTTGCTGTGTGTTCTAATTCACTAAGTGCTCTATTCCATGAGCCATTCTTGTATGTGTGTATCTTGTTGCTCTTATGGAATTGTCTCCTTAGAAATTGTTCTAGGGTCCGCATTGCTGTGTTAAAAGGTATAAATATAAATACTCTGTTGCCCTTTATATTTACTTCCTAAAGGTGGTGTCAGTCTACTATGTCATGAAGAATGCTTTGTCCCCCTGGACTGCTATCTAGATACTGTTGGGAGAGACGGGGTGTGGAGAAGAGTGAGGGAAAAGGACCTGTAGCAGTGACTTGGAAATGTGATGGGCTTTCTCTGCCTTCCTCCTCAGCACGACCAGCTCCACAGCCAGCAGCTGCGACACGGAGTTCACGAAGGAAGACGAGCAGAGGCTGAAGGACTATATCCAGCAGCTCAAGAACGACAGGGCCGCGGTCAAGCTGACCATGCTGGAGCTGGAGAGCATCCACATCGACCCTCTCAGCTACGACGTCAAGCCCCGAGGAGACAGCCAGCGGCTGGACCTCGAAAACGCCGTGCTGATGCAGGAGCTGATGGCCATGAAGGTACCCCCGTGGGTGGGCCCGGTCCAGATCCCAGCTCCCGTTCACCCCACTGTCATCAGGAGAAGGCTACAAAGGCCCCTGAAAATGGTCAGCTGATGACGAGAAGCCAGCCCCACTTACGCTCTGCCAGCTCTCCCTGGAGGAAGGCCAGAGCCTCACTTGTAGACCAGGGCAGTACCCATGTGTCAGGGGTCACTCGGGCTGGACGTGCTCTTGGAGGCGTGAGTTGAACTCTGGGGAACACCCGAAGTACCTAGGTTTGGGGTGTTTTGTCCTCCAGGAGAAGCCAGCTTTGACCTCTGCAGGCCGCAGCAGCCTCTGTCCATTGAAAGGGACCCTAGTTTCCACAAGCTTACAAGTGCTTCTCGGCCGATTCTGAAGTTAGCCTGAGGCCAGGAAGAGCAGGGCGAGGCCAGGTGCAGATCTGGGGGAGAGCCTGGTTTCCTAAGGCCCCTGTGCCTTCGGCGCTGCCGGGACCCTGCTGGGGTCACGGTGACCCGAGCACCCCCCACCATGACGTGTGCCAGTGCCATGCGGCAGTTTCTTGGCAAGAACCTAGGCTGAGTCTCTGCTGGCGCCTCGCACTGGGAAGCAGGTAAACTGCCACCTCCAGCAGGACACACTGGGCTCATCTCACCCCCGGGGGTGCCAGGCACTAGGCTTCACCTGCTGAGTGCTTTCTCCGAAGATGGCTGGCTGGGGTGTGGTGAAGAGTGTATCTGGTATTTGTTTGCAGTTGCTGGCCCAAAACTTCAAAAACCCTTAAAATTTCCTGAGTGGCAGGAGGGTCTCGGTTGTGGTAATGAGCTAACTTAGCAGCCCCCGGATAGCTTCTGGATGAGGGCTGGTCTCCATCAGAACCAATCAAGTTATTAGAAGGTTGACACTTTCATCCCCTTGACCTCCGGGGGGGGGGGGGATGGCTACAGATCGAATTCCATGGTGTCACCAGTGACTTAATCGTGTCATGGCACCCCAATAAAAAGCCTGTACACCAAAGCCCAGAGATGCCCCTGTTGGTGAGCACCTGTGTGCGCCCCTGCGGGGATTTGCGCCGCCTCGGGGGAGGGGCACGGAACCGGCGCTGGTCCCGCCCTGCGCCAGTCCCGCCCTGCGTGCGCCCTTCGAAGAGCGCAATCCCGAGTCCAGAGAGTGATGCTAGTGAGCTGTGGTCCTGGGGCGGCGGGCGGGGGACCCAGAATTCACAGGCAGATAGTGAGAAGTACGAGTGGCCTGGGCCCCCTCTCCCCGCAAGACTTGCGGCTGGCATCTGATATGAGGCGGTCTGCGCAGGCCTGTGCGCCTAACTCGTGGGGCGTACAGACTGCGGGAAGTCCACGGCAGAGACGCACTGTACACATGCAGGTGGAGGGGAACCGGTAACCGCCCGCCCGGAGCACGGCTCTGGGACGCCTCAGCCCGCTCTCAGCAGACCGGTGGCAGAGGTGGGCACTTACAGGCCCGGGGCCGCGCAGGACTCTGCCGCCTGGCCGGCTGACATGGGAGTTGGGCGGGGAATCGGGCTCCCAAACCTGCTTTCCAGGCTCCACCCTCCTGCCGAGTCCTGTGCGCCAAGGCCTGGTTTTCTCCGCCTCGGGTTTTGAAGGGTCCCTGGCTCTCGGGAGTCCCTGAGGGAGGGGTTCTCGGGCTGCAGCCCCGTCACCTTCAGTTTAAAACCCCAAAGCAGCTTCGTCAGGCCGGGGCAGGTGTCAGCAGTGCTGAGTTAACAGTTTCCAGCTGTTCTCTCCCGTTGGGACCAGCAGTGTCCTCAGAAGAAGGAGCAGGGCCACCTCGGCTCCCCACCTTCACAGAGGGAGGGGCCTGCCAGCAGTGGTCATCCCGGACACGCTCAGGGTGACTCACTCCGCAGGCACACCGCTGCCCTTGGTGATGCTCAAGCGTGAGTGAGTCTCCGTGAAACCTGGGAAGACTCTGGGCAGCGGCAGCAGGTATAGGAACCACCCAGCGTTTCCAAGCTGGTACATCTCGGTCGTGTCCACTCAGCCCGGACCTGACCTCTGCCCCCTCTGGGGAGCCTCACCCATTGCGGGCTGATTTCTGCTCCCATCACCTGTGAGCCCGGCTTTGGCCCCACAACCACAGGGCCCTTTGGCCTGGGCAGGAGCCCTCCTTCTGGGCCTCGCGCCGTGTGGCATGAGCTGCGAGGCTGCCCTTCCCGTTTATTCCAAACTGTTTCCTTTGGCCAAGGACTAAGGGCTCCTTTTTACATTCAAGCCAATCTGTCATGGGATAGATTCAGTGTTATTCTGGCTGGGAAAGACTTTTTTTGGTGGCATAAAAGCACCAGTACTCTCTTTTCTACTTGAAAATAAAATGTGTACACATTATAGGAATTCTCTAAAAGAGTAGAAATTAGTAAAAGCTTGGAGGGAGATAACTCGTCACACCATGGCCCGAGGCAGCCATGGCCAGCTAGTGCTCTGGCTCGGCTCCCTGGCCCCCTTCCTTCGAGGGTTTCGCAGGGTCAGCACCACAGTCCCCTCCCCTGTGGTCCCCTTGGGCAGTGTGTCCAAGGGCTCACGCTCCCCGACGCACACACGTAAGCAGGTTATGTTGGGTTTCACCGTTGTGTTCTGGACTGTAGCTGCTGAGAAACAAGTTTTCTGGGTTTTGGTGGTGGTGGTGGTTTGTTGTTGTTGTTGTTGTTGTTGTTGTTGTTGTTGTTGTTTTACTGCTGTGTCTGATCTTCAGTGACCACCTTCTCATTCCTCGTGTTGACTTGGCTCCTTTTCAAATCCATTCTTCTTTCATAAACATCCTTTCCTTTCATTACAACTCTTCCGTTAGGTCTTTGTTTTAAACATTTGTTTTCTAGTTTTCACTTGTTATCTCTGGTTCTCGTAAATGCCGATTCTGCCTCAACATGAGTCACTTCTGTCTTCTCTCTGCGTCGGGGGAGAATGTGGGTGGCCGCCCATCTTCAGGGCGCAGGTGTCCTCCCAGGGCCCCCTGGGCCTGGCCGGCGGATGTCCCTACCTGGTGGCTCTGCTTAGATTTGTGGGCACCTGTGGGTTTGAGAGGTTTGGGATTAGTTTTTGTTATGTTTTTGGCTTAGGATTCCTGTCCCACATCTCCACATGACACAGGTTTGAGGTTCTCATTCAAGGGGCTTTCCTTTCCCTTCCCACCCAGAGCCAGGGCGACAACCACTTCCTCACCATGTCTCCAGAGAGGAAACCTCCTCATCTCTTACTCTACGCGGCACTGAGAGTCCCAGACCGCGTTGGTCTCGGATCCGGCCCTCTTCCCTGCCCGGCACAGGTGCCAAAAGCCCAGGCCGCGGGTCCTCCCTGTTGGCCCCAGCCTCTGCTGGCCAGCACAGTGGCCACCTCACCTTCCCCTCGGGCACCCCTCCCTCTTCGTGTTCTGGCGCCCATCATTCCCCCTCTCGCGCTTGCCTGTGTGTGTCCGTCCTGGACAGCATGGCCCACGTTAGCTCGGATTGCGGTGCTCCAGAGCCTTCAGAGTCCCGCTGCTTTTGCAGAAGATTAGAAGGGTCCCGTGTCTGGAAACCTTTTGCTCCAGTTTTATGTCTCGTCTTTAGAAGGTTTGGCATCTTTTGGGCAGTCACTGAGCATGTTGCCTTGTCCATGTCTGGTGTTCCCAGCTCTGAGTGTTACCAGCTCTAATGGGTGCCCTCTGGGTGCTTCCCCCACACCAAGGCCAAGAACACCCACCCCCGGGGCTGGTTTGCCCAGGGTAGCACACCGGGCCTGGGGCTTATGACCTCACATAAGGGTGACTCAGGGGTGACTAGAATCAGTGGCCATGGCGAACCCCTCTCAGGACAGCAACTCAGCATTATGAAGATGCCTCTTAAGTGAGATCATCGAGATGGCTGGGGAAACTGACCTGGGAGTCAGGTGTGGCCCCCCGCCCTCCACTAGAGGCAGAGAGATGAGCGTCACGCATGGGCTCACATCAAAAAGGGTTGTGGGGGGCGTGTAGCTTAGTGGCTGAGAGCCTGGGCTCTGAGCCAGGTGGCCTGGGTTCAAACCCTGGCTTACCCAGCTCACGCAGTAATTGTGAGCAGATGAACTTGCCCCTGCACGCCTCATTCTCCCATCCATGAGTGGAGATACTCATAGTACCTGCCTGAGGTGGGGCAGGCTAAATGACTCACTTCGCATGAACACACTTGTGGTCACGTTGTTACCAGGCCCCTGGTCCCAGCAGGGCACTGTCTGATTTTGGAGTCACTACTGGTCCCCATAAAAACCTCTACTCTGAATTCTCTGAGACACTCTGAGAAGTTGCCAGTCAGTCAGTCACCTGCAAAGGACTCTGCTTCTGTTGATTTCCCTGGGGCCCTGAAAGGAGACAAGTGCTAGGGCAGGATATCGTTGCAGTGGGTGCCCCCTTCCTGTCTGACTTGGGTGGCGAGCACCGAGGCTGCCACCAGGGGCCACTAGACATGTGCGTTGGTGCCATGGAAGGTGGGAAAGGAAGTGGGATTGGAAGGGACCTAATCAGACCAACCTCGTGGTGGTGACCCTCCTTTGTAACCTCTTCGACAGATGACACTTAGCCTCAGCACACTGAAAAACTGGTTTCCAACTATGCACTTGTGCCCTTTGTGAGGTGGGGGATTCCAAGTGTTAGAAAGTTTCTTGTTATTGTAAAAACCCAAATCTGCTTGCCTGTATCTTCTACACATTAACCTCAGTTCTGGTCCATGGAGTGACACAGCGCAGGGCTTGGTCTCCACATCTGTCCTCCCCTGCTGTGGAGACAGCTGTCCGTCTTCCCCCCATTGTCTCATCTCCAGCTGCACCGGGATAACTGCTGCAGGTCCCTGGTTGCAGCCCAGACCCCTTCCACTCGCCTGCCTTCCCGCACCTGGCCAGGCTCTTCCATGCTGAGCCGCATATGTTCTGTCTCCATAGGAGGAGATGGCTGAGCTGAAGGCCCAGCTCTACCTACTGGAGAAAGAGAAGAAGGCCCTGGAGCTGAAGCTGAGCACCCGGGAGGCCCAGGAGCAGGCCTACCTGGTGCACATTGAGCACCTGAAGTCCGAGGTGGAGGAGCACAAGGAGCAGCGCATGCGGTCCCTCAGCTCCACCAGCAGCGGCGGCAAAGACAAGTCCGGCAAGGTAGGGTCAGAGGGGCTTGGGCCTCACTCCCTGCCCAGTCCCCACCACTCACCGCCCTGTACCTCCCCTGCCTTATTTGCATAGGAGCTGCAGGCCATGCTAGTTACCTAAAGGAAGGTGGCATTTGAGTGTAAAGAACCCAAACCTGCATTTGCAAACTCTTGCTCCATGTCACAGGGAGATCATTTCCACAGATTGTCGTCCCCCCGGGTGAGGTCTGTGCCGTGGTCGCACAGTCCAACACCGGTGCCACCTGCTGTGTCTGTCCCCATCCTCACAGCGGCCATCATGTATGGACCACTTCTGTGCTCGTCACACAGAACCCTGAGGAAGGCATCGTTACCCCATTTGCATGAGGACAATGAGATTCAGAAGAAGTGAAAAGTCTCAGAGCTACTGAGTAGCAGAATTGGGGTTTAACCCCAGTTTGGCTAACAGGCCGTCCTCCCCTTGTTCTGTTGCCTCCTCCACTTCTTTTGGCAAATGCCGTCAGCGAGGTGGAGCAGGAAGCCACCTGAGGCAGAGGCAGGGGAAGAGGAGGAAGGCAGGCCCTGGATTTCACAGCAGATACCTCGGGGAGAGGGCTGTCGGGTGACATCATCTTGCAAACGCACACTCCCATTAGCCCCCAAGTCTCTTTTTCTGGAATCGAAGTTCATTCCATCACACTGCATTTCAGAATTATTTCAAATAGTGTGTTAGAGGAAAAAGGCTTTGGACCTAAAAGAATGATATGCCTTGTCCCAGGACACTGAAATGCTGTGCATTGGGTTTTCTGTTCCTGATAAATGGTAGCTTCTCCAGATGCCAGTTTGTTTCAGGCCCAAGACCGGTGGGCAGAGGCTGACCTGCTGGTCTAATGAGCGGCCTCTCGCAGCCCAAATGCCGGATGTCTCCAGGAGAGGTGTGCACGTGGGAAGAAGCCACTTGCTGATGCCGTGTGGCAGAGAACTGTCACCTCCTGAATAGCTAAGCCCTGGGAAGCATGCTTTACAAAGGGCCACAGCTGTACCTGGCCCACCCCTCGCCTGCCAAGGAGCCCAGGGCATCGGGCAGGGGCACCCAGTGGGGCCAGCACTCCCGAGACTCCGGCTGCTTCCCAGTCAGTTATCCATGCATTCGATAAATGGGATGTGGTCCCGTTGGGGCGCTGGGGGCAATTCCAGGTTTGCACACCTATGGGGGACACTGATGAGCAAACAGAGGGTCCTGACACAGTGACACAATGTCCTGAGTGAGTACGAGGACCAATTCCACGTGTGATGGAGGCCACAGGCCACACTCGGAACCCAGGCTTGGAGATGCGGGCCAGGTTTCCAGAGCTGAGGCCCAGTAGAGAGTGGGAGCTGGCCAGATGAACGGGGGCGGGGGAAGCGGGGGCCACTCCAGGCCGATGGAACACCCCAGAGGGAAGAGGAATCCATGTGCTGGTTGGCGAGGTCAGCTGAGTGTGCAGCTCCCCCGGGGACAGTGAGGAACCGCTGCAGGGCTGCCCCGGGGGGTGATGCCGCACGTTTTGCCCTTTGGAGAGGTCACTGCCCGATGTACCAGGAAGCCGTCTGCCCCACGGGGCTTGCGCCATGCTGTTTCTGACAGTGGGGCCAGGGCTCAGGGAGGTGGGTGGTCTGCCCCAGGCCTGCCTCTTTAAAGTCTGTACAGCCTCTCTGAGTGTGTTAGTGGTCACCGGGGGGTCAGGGCCTGGGAGACGAGCGCTGGTGTGCGTGGTGTGTGGGTGTGCGTGCTCAGGGCCTCACGGGAGCAGACTCCCGGGGTTCTTGCCAGAAGGCCCCTGGGCTGGGCCATCCCCTGGTTCTTGGTGTTGGTTTTGACTGGGAAGGCGCTGTGTTTTGTGGAATGGCTTCAAACCATAGAAGTCACTTTGATGGAAAAGGCCAGGTGATTTTATTTTTAACATTAGAGTAAAAAGCTTTTTAAAAGTACCTTGGGTTGTTCAGGTAATGAAATTAGAGTAGCTGATTCTCTTGTCTTTCAAATATTGGAACCATTTACTGCTTCATTAACATTTCCCTTCGGAGCTATTCATTTTTCTGATTTGTTGGTAGATGAAGCAAACTGTCCAGAGCCAGGGTTGGAAAACTGTAAAGCGTCACACAGTCAATATTTTGGGGCTTTCGAGGCATGCGGACTCCGCTGCAGCTTCTCTGGGCCGCTGCAGAAAGCGTTCTGCGGGAAGGCAGAGAGGGTGTCGGTGGGGGAGGGCGGGCAGCGCGCTAATAGCACTTCACGTATGGACATCGAAACTTGAATTTCATATAATGTCTACACATCACAAAATAGTCTTTATATATTTTTTCATATTTTTAAAAACAAAATCAATTCTTAGCTTGTGGGCCGTATAAAAACTGGTGGCAGGCCAGATCTGGGTCTAGAACACCCACCATACTCTGGAGGGTGGGGGTCCTGCTTGTTCTAAAACTCCCCTCCAGCCAACAAGCTGGAACCTGAATCTCCTCCAAGTCACATTAGCTTTTTTGCACTTGTCTCTGCAACAGATATTGCCAACCGTGTCCAGTGAGAGGCACAGGTGGGACAAGGCTGTCCCTGTCTCTGAGGAGTCTTAGGAAATGTCCTGCCGTCACAGGGGAGTAGGTGCTCAGAAAGGGGGGCTGTTGGGATCTCAGCGTCCACTCGCTGGAGGCCGAGGCCGGGGCCAGGCCGCCCGGCCATGGGACCACGAGGGGGAGAGAAGGGCAGGAGAGCCTCGGGCAGGGGAAGGCACGCAGAGTGGAGGGTGTTCAGAGGAGGGCGGTGTGGCTGCGGGACGCCCCGTGTGGGGGCATCTCTGCGTCAGCAGGCTGCGGGACACTCAGGGCCCTCCTGAGGTCTGGACCGTAGCCCTAAATGCGTACTTCTGCATAGCTCTCATCTCCCAGCTACCTAACTTTGTTTACATTCAGTAAACAAATGTATCAACTGCAACAGATCACCAGCCTTTTCGTCTCAGGCCTGGGTGTAGTAGGTGCTCAGTGAATGTCTTTGGAACAAAAATCATCAGATGAGCCTCCCCTGGCCACTTTCCTAGGCAGCATGGAGACTGCCCTCGGTTAGAGCGCTCAGATGGGTGATCACGGCACTGCGCAGGAGTCCGGCTCCCAAGTGCCTCAGCTGTAAAGCAGGGTTCAGTCTGATGATGTCAGCGTTCCTGTCTAATGTTATAGCATGGGCGGGGGGAGTAGGGGGCGTGGGTGGAGGTTGCATTTCTGTCTTCCTCCTCCTCCCTGAGTTTTCTAAAGGTTACACTGTACCCAAATGTAGACAAGACTGGTTTTCTCCCAAGGAGGAGTGGGGCTGGGGCTGAGGATCCTCTGTCTCCCACTTGTCTCTTACGACTCATGAGAGGCTGACTCACGGTGGAGAGCCCTGGTCTGCAGCAGCTGACTTAGGTTTGATCCTCGCTCCACCAAGTCCTGGCAGATGACTTGGGGCAAAGTCACTTCTGTGCCTTAGTGTTCTCCTTGGCCAAACGGGATCATGATAGCAGCTGCCTCGGAGGATCATTAAGGTGATTAAATGGGAGGGTGTGTGACCGCTCAGGCCAGTGCCTGGTACACAGGGAGTGCTCAGAGCTTGGGAGGAGCGGTCATCGCCCGTGGGCCAGCCTGCCAAGGGCTCGGACCCCGGGGCAGCATTGCAGCTGTCACCCCCCACTTGGCTCCAGGTCTAACCCACGTGTGTCTGCCGTTCCCAGGACTGTGCTGATACTGCCTCCCCGGCTCTGTCCCTGGCAGAACTGAGGACCACACACAGCGACAGTGAGCTGGCTGCAGAGTTTGCCAACGCCATCCGTCGGTAAGCACCCTGCCCAGGACCCCGACACACCATCTGCTCTGGGAGCGGCGGCTTCATTCTCAGTTCTCTTGGCTGTTCGTGCCGTGCTCCTCGGTCACTCGGGCTGGCCCGGGAAGGGGCTTCAGCTGTGTCCATTGTGTCTGGTGCAGATGTTAAGTTTTGTACTTGGGTGATGAAATCTCTCACCTCTTCAATGATGGGTCCTGCTCTCCTCCAGTCCTTGCTGGCTGGACAAGGAGAAGCCCTGCTGGCACCAGACCTTTCAGAAGGGAAGCGATGGGAGAGTGTAGGGGTGGTCATTTCATCCACAAACAGAAAATGTCCCTTTCTTTGCTTTTTTGTTGTGTTGCACTGGCTGGACCCTTCAGGACATTGTTAAATGGTAATAGTCAAACCAGGCGTCTTGACCTCGTCTCCAGCATCCGTGGGAACACTTCCATCAGCATCAGCGGCTCTTCCCAGTCAGGAAGCCCCGTGTGTGCATTCAGTTCTGGGCGTTTTCCTCTCCTGTGTGTGTCTCCCCCCGCCCCTTCCTGTGCTCCAGGGAGAAACAGTTGTGACCCATCTGGATCTGCCTTCCGCATCCTCGCCTGCCATACTCCTGCCCCCTGTCTAGAGAAATGAAATGCAAGCCACATGTGTAATATTCTGGACTTCTGGTAGTCAGATTAAAAAGTCACAAGAAACAGGTGAAATCCACATTAATAAGGTGTTTTATATACCCAGTGTATCCAAAATATTATTTCAACATCTAATCAATATTTTAAAAGACATATTAATGAGATTAGTAGTAGTGGTCACACCAAGTTTTCAAAATCTGGGACACATTTTACACTGACGACACATCGCAAACTCGAACAGCCAGCGTTTCGGGAGCTCAGGGGCACGGGCGGCTGTGGCTGCCCTGTAGGAAAGGGCAGTTCTGAGAGGTTCTTCAGCTCAGTTGTCCAGTTCACTAATTTATTAATGTTTTTAATCCCCATCTGAGAATATCTTCATTGATTTTTTTTTTTTAGAGAGGGAAAGGAAAGGAGAGAGACAGGAACATCGATATAAGAGAGAAACATTGATCAGTTGCCTCCCATACACGCCTCCACCTGGGATCAAACCTGCAACCTGGGCATGTGCCCTGACCTGGGATCGAACCTGCAGCCTTTTGGTGTAGGGCTGACACTGCAACCAGCTGGACCACCCAGACAGGGCACTAATTTTTTTTTTTTTTTTTCAGTTGTATCCATTGTGGTGTTTGCCTTAGAGCTGAGTTTCTTATTTTGGTAATTAAGTCTGTCATATCTTTAGTGGTATGGTATCCTCTTACTCTTTCTGAGGATATTTATTATACTGATTCTAAAATGTTATTTTGTCTGCTGTGTTGACTCTGTGTCCACACATCAAACTCTTTTCAGAATTGACTTTTGTGACTCTTCCTTGGTTCGGCTCACATGCTCCCCTTCTGGGCTTCCTCTTCCTCCTGGCCCATGCCCGCTCCTTGGGCTGCAGACCTGGCCCAAGCACCTGGTTCCCAGCTGTCCTGGGGCTGGCAGCTCTCCGTGAGCCCCTCTGAGGCCTTTCTGCTCATAGCTCCACTCTTCTGTTTGCATTCTGAGTTGTGGTTTCCTTTCTCGGGAAGAAGAAAAATCTTGCCCTTTTTATGAGTGCTCATCACTTCTGGCATACAAGGAACACTCCTTGCTTTCTAACACATTCAGGGATTTTTGAAAAAACACATTTCCCACCCTGGACAGGTGGTTCAGTTGGTTGGAGTCATCCCATACACCAAAAGGTTGTGGGTTCAATCCCCAGTCAGGACACATACTTGGGTTGTGGGTTCGATCCCCAGTCGGGGCGTGAATGGAAGGCAGCCAATCTGTTTCTCACATCAATGTTTCCATCTCCCTCTCTCTCTGGGCAACCCCCTTCCTCTCTGTCTAAAATCAATAAATACGTGTCCTCAGATGAGGATAAAAAACACATTTCCCAACATTTCTGGGGCTTGGGGTACGTGGGGAAGGCTACAGCGCGTGCCCAATCTGCCCTCCACATCCAGCCAGCTGCTTAGTTTGGGTGCAGCCTCCAGGCTGACGGTGGGTGGGAGGCTGCCCCGCGGGAGCTCCATTGCCCTCCTCACTTCCTGTCACTTTTGCTCTTTGCTTCCAACTTGTAACAGCTCAGCTTTTACACCGCCTGCGCCTCTGGTCATATGGTTAAATTATAATTACTTGGCTTGAGGTAGGAAGACAGGCATCGCCAGAAGATGCCGTCCGTGAATCCCAATGACCCAACAGGGCCGGGAGAGGGGGCACAGGCCACGCCCGCCTCACACTGGGAGCCACTGGGGTGGCATGTTTGTACCCTAAGTCCCGGCATTTTTCTGATTCTGCAGACCTCAGAGGCCTTTGCTGGCCCAGGGAGGGTTCGGGTTCCGCTGACTCAACACAAAGAGATTTCATTTGCTCTGTCCATCACAGTGGGTTTCCAATAACCAGCCTTGAGTTGGTTAGCATGGATTTCTAATCAAGAGTCATATATGGATCCCAGAAAGAACCCACAGGGCTACAGGAAAAAGGACAATAACATAATTATACTGTAACTGGAGCTTAAACCCTGGAAGAATCATTTCATGAGGGTATATAATATAAACATCTGAGGGCTGGGAATGTTTTCATTTTTAAAAACCAAGTGGAAACTAACACCTTTGGAGATACTAAATCACCACTGAGCTAGTTGAAGTCAACTGAGGGAAACTGCCCTGTGTTTTCAGAAATATTTCTTCCTTAGGAAAGGAATGTGTGGGCCCAGGCATCCAGACTCAAGACAGCAGGTTCGGAGCAGGGAGGGCAAGAGGCTGAACCGTGGTATTTTCTTGTGAGAACCAGCCAGCCCCAAGGAAGGTACCTGTGGCCTTCCAGTCACTGGTTCTAAGGTTCCTGGCTTGCCCCAGCCTGGCCTCCCAGCCTCGCTGGCGTGAGTTCGGGCAGCCCTTGCACCTGACCCTGCCCTCTCACTGCGTCTTCTCCCAGCTCCCCCCTCCCCCATTTGGAACACAGCCCGGACTGCGTGCAGACGCACACGTGCCACCTACCTCCCATCTGCGCCGATTTCAGTCCCTCCACTTCCATCAACATTCATTGTGGTTTATTGGCTCCCCTGTTGCCATCAAACCACATTGAGAAGACCCAGTTTCCGGTCTTGCACACGAAGCTCTTTTTACCTGGAGGCCTCGTGTTAGTTCTTGTCCCCATAGGCTGCGTGCTGCAAAACCTTCATGTGAGGTCCCTCTCCTGCTCTGGGTCCTGGTAAAATTAAACTGGATGATCTTTATAGCAAAGAAGTGAAGTGTAACTGTGCAGTTACAGAGAATTTTCAGGAATGACTCTTCTTTGTATTTGGATGTGTGAGGCGCAGCCTGCCCTGGGGACCTCAGCACATCTGGGAGGGGCGGACCGTTCATCTCTGTCACATTCTTGGGGACAGGCGGTGGTCTCCAGGTGAGGGGGTGGGAAAGGCACAACAAGGCCGAGTGGTTTTCCAGGGTCACAGAGCAAGTCAGTGAGAAATTGGGGGGCTTCTACGTTCTCTGCTGGACCCCACTTGCTGCCGAAGCTTTGCCCTGCAGATGAGGGTGACTGGAGCCCACTCGTGTGGGCTCTCCTTATCCTCAAAAAGGACTTAGATAGCTGTTTCACACCACCTGGGTTTTCTGAAAAAATAATTAGTGATAGACCAATGTTTACAATGAAGGAAATAAGGAAGGTCATATGATATAGTCCCTATGGAGACTTTCCCCCACCCCCAAAAATTACATATAGATTGGAATGAATAATTTGGAGGAAATGACAAGGTGCTGTGATGTTACAACTCCAAGCCATTTGTTCAGATGGGTGGGCTTTTCGAAGGTGGTGACCTTTCAGGTGAAATGAGGAGGAAAAGCAGCTGGTTGGGAGTACACCCCAAGCAGAGGGAAAAACTTAGTGTGTGCTGATGGGATTCCAGCATGCTGGAGTGTGAGAGGGGCAATGCCAAAACCTGGGTGGGCAAGGGGCAGGTTGAGCAGGGCCTTAAAGGCCCGGGGTAGGACCACTGGCTTTACTCCAGCTGCAGGTAGAAGGCACTGAGGGCAGTAACATGATCCAACTTGTGATAGTAAAAACTTCTGGAGGCTCTGACTGTGAAAACCTAACAAGGAGGCAGAGGTGCGGTCGATTCAACACCACAGGATGGTGAAGCGTGACCACCCTGGAGGTGCTGACAGAAGTGGCGCTTTGGTAGGCGTGGTTCGCCCTTTAACTGCCGTGGAGGTCGAGGGCAAGGTTGGAGTGATGAGGGCCAATGGCGTTGCCCTTTGCTGACAAGGGAGAAGGAATGGGTTTGGGAGACCATCTCAGAAGGCTAGCCTCAGACATGTCAAGTTGAAGATGCCTAAGCAGAGATGTCAGATAAGCCCAGAGATCCAAGACAAGGTCTGGAGATAAGGATTTGGGCTTTTAGCAATTTATTTAGAAAAATTAATGGGGATGGAGAGAAGTGAAGAAATGGAGGGCTGTAGAGTATGGTCCAGGCCCAAGTCCTGGTGCTCCAAGTATATAGATTTGGAGCAGAGACCAGATCTGCAGGTCTGTGAGGCCCCACCTCTCTTCCTGGGCTCTGTCCTCCAAGAGAGCCGGCCAGGCCTGGGCAGTGTGCTCTGATCCCTCAGGGCACTATGGAAGCCTTTGGTTTCCAGGGGCAGGGCTCTGGGAGTTCCATATTCTCCACCGTCTACAGGGTGGCGCAGAGGGGTATGGATGTAGTTGGGGTGGAAGATAATGGTATTGCACTGTGCAGTTTTGTTGTGAATTTATTGAGTTCATGGTGACATTTTTAATTCTTGTCACAATATTTTTTCCCTTTGCAGTATGAATCAACTTTAGAATGAAAAAAGACTCAAAACAGTAACAAAATGTAGGAGAAATAACCCTCCTGCTGCTTTTTTTTTTTTTTTTTTTGCCAGAGGGAAAGGATGAATCTTTCCCCGTCTCCTAACCTGCCCCAGCTGACAAGGTGGAGGGGGTGGCGGAGGACACCCAAGAAACTGTTCTCACTTCTGGCAGGAAATGGTGACATTCTCAGACTCCAGTAGGAAATGCAGCCAAATTCGGGTGGCTGCTGGGGCCCAGGAGAAAGCCTCATCCTCAGCCGGTGGGATGCACTCTGCTGGAGGGAGGGTTCCCTGAAGAATGAGCAGTGATGCAACTTGGGCTAGTTGTCAGGCTTCACTTGAAAAAATTTTCCCCCTTCAGTGTCACTCACAAAAGCAGGTCAGGATTTTTGTGTCACAGTTCCTTTATTACTGTGTGGAAAGCTTGACTTGCACTAACAGTAGCTGGAGGCAGAAACACGAAAGATGTAGCTATTTGAAAAGCCAGGAAGGGAAAACTAGCCTCTGAACCATGGGCAGAGTCCTCACCTAGGTCACCCTCCCAGCCCCTCTTGTCGGAAGCATAGACGTCACAGTTTACAAAAGCAGGCTTAGTTTAAAATTTTCATGCAATTGTTTATATTTATAAATTATTTATAAAGACTTTATTGATTTGGATATTTTGAGTATGTCAGCTATCTCCCACTATTGGCTTCCAGTGGGTGGAGGCCAGGGGGTGCCGCTAAACATCTTCCAATGCATAAACCAGCCCCAGCAAAGAATTATTTGGCCAAAATGTGAACAGTACCAAGAAACTTTGCAAACCACTTTTGACACGTTCAATCAGTCACAGCACCTTCTTCACCTACTGCACAAACTGTTTTTTGTGTTTCAGTTGCATTTTTACCTTTCTTGAAATAAAAAAGCATAATATGCCAAAAATGTTGCATATTTTCTCCCATCTTCAATATTAAAATAGCTGCACAGAAATTCCCCAATTTTGATATACTTTTTAATGCATGCTGATATGACAACTGTCACAATACAATCTAACAAAACCGTTTTGAATGACATTAAAGACAACTAAGTGCTACCAGAGCCAAACGTAGGGAAAAAAACTAAAGGAACTTTTTGGCTAACCTAACAGAAAATGAAAGCCTCCCATCATGCCTCTTCTGTGAGTTAACCTTTGCTGAGTGGTGTTTAGCCTTCTGGTCTATTGTTAGACGACTAGATTTTTTGTTGTTTTTCAAAAAATGGCATCGGACAGAACTCACCCTTTCCACTTGACCATTTATCGAACACCATGCCAAGTGCACTTCGGTCTGCATTTGTTAAGTTGCAGAGTGGTAGAGATATACCTTACCCAGGTCCTTTCCCACTCCGAGCTGTTATACCCAAAGCTACAATGAATGCAACTGTAATCTCATCTATCTATCGGCACCTACACTATTTCTAAAGAAAAATTCCTAGAAATCAAGTTGCTTAGTCAAGGGGCGTGTTCATTTTGCCAGATACTGCCAAATTACCTGCCAACACAATCATGCTAATTTACACTCTTCATATGAGGAATTTCTTCCATAAATTCTGGTTTCTTACTATGCTCCAAAGAACAAATACTGTGAGTTATTCCAAAGCTGTGTTAACCACCATCACTGAGCAGCTGTCACCCAGGCATGGTGCTCAGTACGGAGGATACATCAGGACAAAACCAACCAAGATCCTTGTGACCCTGGAGCCTACATGCCTGTGGGGGAATCTGCTGAGCTCAAATGCATGAACCAGATCAGGGAAAGTCGAGCTGTGACGCCTGTGATACGATGCAGTGCCGCTGCACACAAGGGAGGTGGGGTAGTCATTAATGTCTCCCTGCCCGGGGTCTGGTGTTCTTGTGGGAATTAGAGGGAGGCAATCAGCTGAATGGACACTAGAAACCTCCCATAACTGACCCCTCATCAGTTAACTTGGATTATTGCTATAGCAGTAAAGAGCCCACAGAATGTGAAGCTGGGGGGTAGAGGAAGTCAAATGAAAGTGCCCATGTAATTTCAGTACTTTAAAGGGAAACAAGGACCTTTAAAAGGAGAATACTATCAATTCTACTTCCTCTACCTTTTTGTGTTTGTTTTGCAAGGTAGGACCATGTTGATTTCAGTAAACAGGGACCTGTCCAAGGCAGACTGCCCTCGGACAAGAACAGAGGCTTTGTGCGTGAATCCCTGATTGGTTCAGGAGATGCTGGGGACACCTGGAGAAGAAGGGTGTGGGGCTGCGACAAGGTTCTGTGGTCGAGCTGCACTGGCTGAGGAGCATCTGGCACGCCCGCAAAAGGGACTTCTAGGTTAACTCAGTTTCTCCATCTGGAAGACATCTTGCCTGTCCTGTTCCTTTGTGACTTATACCTTAGATCTCTAAAGACCCTTAGCATTGAAGGAAGTAGACTCAGATAGGCCTCAGGAGGGCAGAGGTGAGGCCTCCTGGCTCCGCCTCAGGAAGGGACCTCCTGCACCCGCCTTTGACTTGGCAAGGTGCACACTTTCCAGGTAGCAGCCACTTCCATCATTGCATCGAGTCACTCATGGCATTCTGTCTGTCTCTCCTTGATGCAGAGAAAAGAAGTTAAAAGCCAGGGTTCAAGAGCTGGTGAGTGCCTTGGAACGACTCACCAAGAGCAGTGAAATCCGACACCAGCAATCAGCAGAGTTTGTTAACGACCTAAAGAGAGCCAACAGGTAAAACCCTTGTGTGTATATGGCCAGTGGTACTTTGTGGGTTCAGGACCCCTTTACACAGACAAAAAACTCAGGACCTCAAAGAGCTTTGTTCTTATAATTATCTATCTATTGACACTTATCACTTTAGAAACTAAATTTTTTAATTTTTAACTTTTTAATTCATTTAATAAAAAACAATAACTACATGTAATATAAATGACCTTTATTTTTAAAAAATATTTATTTTACAAAAGAAGTGGCGCTGTTTTTACAATTTTGCAATTCTCTGTAATGTCTGGCGGTTTTTTTTATTGTTTTATTCAACGTCTGGTTTAATAGAAGACAGCTAGATTCTCACAATTGCTTCTACTGGCAAATATATTGTTCTGAAACAGGTAAGAAAGCCAGCTTCACAGACTGTAGGTAGAAAATACAGGACCTCACAGGCCTCCCCTGAAGGGGCTTCCGAACACCTCAAAGGTCCATCTTCGGGCCACACCTGAAGAACCTGAACGCACATGGAAGGTGTGGGGGGTGTGGGTTGCCATGTGGGACCAGAGAGGGTGTCAGGACTTACCTAGCCCTGGGCTCATCCCTGCCCCCTCCCCGGTGGGGACAGCTCAGAGGCCTAGATTCTGTGTCGGGCAGCCATCAGCTTCGGATAGCCTGTGTGCTCAGAGTCCCACTGGTCCAAAGGATGAAGGGAAATGGCCGCAGCCCCTCTGCCCTCATCCTCGGTGAGGTCACTCAGACTGAAGTGCGGGAGAAACTCCTTCCCGCACCTTACACCTGACCATCTATTTGCACGAACCAGACACAGTATTCGAATTTAAAGGACAGATTTCTGGAATGCAGCTGCCTTTCTGCTGGTTTGGCATGTGGCTAGTTCGGATGGTTGGTTTAAACCCTCCTAATGTGTCAGTGACAAGTCCCCAGCAGTCAGCTCAGCCGTGGTTAAGCTCAGAGACGAAGGGCCATGAGAGCTGAAACACTAACCATTTGACTTCAGGTTCTTACTGAGGAGGCTGAGTGACCTCTGCTTCTCCAGAATGGTGCTTGCTGGAACTGGCTGCCCACTGGACAGGCCAGTGTGTCTCAGTGCTGCCTCGGGGGAAGCTTGCATCTCATTTCCTTCTGTCCCCCCACAGCAACCTGGTGGCCGCCTATGAGAAAGCAAAGAAGAAGCATCAAAACAAACTGAAGAAGCTGGAGTCTCAGATGATGGCCATGGTGGAGAGACACGAGACCCAAGTGAGGATGCTCAAGCAGAGAATAGCTCTGCTGGAGGAGGAGAACTCGAGGCCACACACCAACGAAACTTCACTCTAGTCAGCACTCGGGCCCCCAAGTTCTGCCCGTGGAAGCTCAGCCGTAGCGGGTCTCGGAAGAGAGAAGGGCCCTGGGGACAGAGTACCTGCTGGGAGAATTAAGGAAGGTTGGCTGGTAGGTCAGCGCTGTGGACTAGCCCTGGGGGTGAGCGTCCCCGGTGACGCCGTGCGGACTGTGTCCCGCAGACCCACGGACAGCATGTAAATACCTGCTCTATTCGCGTGCTCAGCAGGCCTGGCTTCTGCTTCCAGCGCTGGCTTTGTCCCCCTCCCACCTTTTCTGCTTTGGAAGTGGTACATCAGCAGTGTCCCAGGCATTTGTTTGATAGGATTTTCCACTCTTTTCCTCCATTTGGTAGATAGTGACCTTATCTCTGGTGTCCCCAGTTTCTCCTCTGTCCTCCTTGGGAGGGAAAACTGACACACACGGGTGTGTGTCTCCGTATCTACATTTGCTCACCGTAAGGCAGCTTTGGTGTTTAAGTCCCACCTACCAACTCTGAGACACAGGCTGTCACACAGCAGGTGGTACAAAGGTGTCACAGTCCTAGATAGGAAGTTACAGGGCAAGCAAGCCCCGGGCTGTGCCTGAACAGCTGTGTGTGTGGGAATGAGCCTGCCGTCAGCTCCCACTGTGGAGGCAGGGCCCAGGAGAGTGCCCCGCCTGATGGGGCCTTATCAACAGCCAAGGCTAGGAGCTGGGCTGATGTAGGTATTGGAACTAAAATTTTATCTGGAATTTCTTCAAGGACAGAGGAGCATTTTTAGTACTTCCCCACCCTGGGCACTCTATAATTGCTGTTTGCGTGAACCAGAGTTCACCCACAGGAGTATATATGTAGCTCTGGAAATGCCTCTGTTTCTGTAAGGACAAGAAGCAGGACACTGAGTAGTTACTATTTTGCAGGCTGATCCCATCTATTTGAGATTGCTACTGAATCACCAGTTCAAGACTTCACTCCTGCTGTGATGAAGGGTAGAGGGTGAGGAAATGGTCCTCAAGGTCTCCTTTTCTCCCCCAGACTTGGTGATCATGAGCATATGGTGCTTAAACAGGTTAAATTTCAAGCAAAATGTTGACAGGACTGGGTAGGACCAAAGTACCTGAATTCTTTCAGGAAGGGCTTCTATCTCAGACTCATTATTCCTCTTCCACTGTTTCAGTCTTTCTTCAGTAGTTGCCCTACCCTGAGACATCTTAAAGGACCACTTGCCATTTACTCTGTGGCGCCTGGAAATCCACCCAAGTGCCCCATGAGAAATACGTCCCAATGCAATGCCACAATTCACAAAGTTTTGCTTATGACCACGTCATCGTGTCAGTGTCCCCATGTCCACAGCTAAAGGCCTGCTTTCAGAGAGCATGAATCCTATTCCTCAGCCTTTTGCACTCTGGTGGAGGGCACTTGAGCTACCGCCTCGGAGGGCAGAGTCTCATCCCCAAAGCAGTCAACTTTCTCAGGTAGGCAGTGAGGCTGCCAGATCTTCAGTCACCTGGTGTCAGTCTGCAGGGGCCAGCTCTCAGGTGCTCTGATCACTGAGAAGGTGCCCACTGGTCCCTGTGTCTGTTATGAATCTTTCATTCAGTCAGAGTTGGTTCTTGTTTGTGATTTCTTAAAATCAATTTTTACTCTTTGGGTAAAATTTCATTTTGTCACAAGGAAAATGTTTTGGCTGAAAAGTATGTCCAAAAATGGTTTAATAGAAAAAAATCAGTTTTCCCAGCTTGCCTAGGGAAATGTCCTCCTCCAAGCTAACTGGGATGTGCGTGCAAGGTGGGAAGGCAGCCATGGCCTTCGCTCTTGCAAATGGAAAGTGTAGCAGATGCAGGATTCAAGGCCTGCCATGCCTGCCCCTAGTGAGAACCGAGAGCCCACCCTTGTAGGGTCCTGAAGCCCCTCCGGACCGAGGCTCCGCTCTTCCATTAGGAGCCCCTGTATTACGAAAGCTGCCTAGCCTCATTTTGAGTTTATATGTCAACATAATACTTTTTAAATATGTGGTGATCGGGGTAAAACTGTTACTTTTATAAATGTGCAGAATAAAAAAGCTATTATTAAATAGTTGATTTCCTTTCCTTGTATTTTTCAAAGACCCCCTAAGATAAAATCCTTGCTGAAGGTGAACAGGCACTGGGCTGTCTGACTGCAGAGTCCCCTGAAACTGCATTGTGATATGCCTGCAGGTGCTGGGTAATCTTCCTTTTTTGTAACCTGAACTATTCCCTTTCTGAATACAAGATGGTTTTACATCAAATCTCTGTCAGGGGTAAAACAATGTTCTTAATTCTAATTTGTATGAGGTTTAAAATATCTTTAGACCTTTACATTTCTGTTTTCTTCCTGTTTTCTCCATGGTTTCTTACCCCTTTCAGGCAGTTACCTTCTCTATTCCGAGTTTAGTCTTTGGCCCTTAGAGCAATGGGCATGGGAAGAAAGGGCCCACCTCACAGTTCTCTTGCAGTGTATCTCCCATCACTGAATTGAGGCAAAAATCAGAAGAGACTTCTGCCACTGGCATGCCATCAGTGTGTGGACCAACCCACTGCATCTGATGTTCTGCCAAGCCCCAAGTGCTGCAGCTACCAAAACGGACAGACTCCTGAGTGGTAAGATGTTATTTGAGACTTTCACCAAAACCTACTTATGATAAACATCTTATGTCACCGGACAGCTGACACTTATGCCCTGACCCCAGAGGTATACTAGATGTCTCACTGTTGCCATCTGCTGGCATGTTGGGTGTCTGAAGTTAACATCCATGCTGTCTGAAACTGGAAATGTTAGGTCTATAAAACAAAGTGCCAGTTAAACATAACTGCTTAATTCTCCTTTGAGATACATGTACTTCTTACTAACCTTCCTTCTGAGCCTGCAGCAATACTTCACAGGAACCTCAGAGAACTCTGAATTAGAGCCTCTAAGGCTTTTTCTTAAAAACCATTAGGATGTGGCTTGTAAGGATTTTACTGCTCTTAAGAAAAACTTAAGTATCTGACAGTCTCCTGGTCCCTAGCTCTATACAGATCAGCGGTCCCCAACCTTTTCTGCACCAGGGACATGGTTTCCTGCAAGACAATTTGTCCATGAAAGGGCAGAGGGCAGGAGCGCTGAGCTCACCTCCTGCTCTGCAGCCCTGTCTGGTTGGGGACCCCCTGATACAGACTACATTTCAAATGGGAAAATGCTCCCCAGTCACCTGATCTGAGTGGGACTGCCTATTTCCTTCTAAAGTCGTTTTCCCATGACCCATAAAAATTATCATGCAGTTAATTCTGTCATTATCTTAAACGTCTCAAGAGTTTAGGGTACCATACTTGTGTTTTACGTGAACTGATGAGAAAGACATCAAGACTACCAAAAAACAACTCAAACTTACAGTGACTTCTGAAAGTGCTAAGATTCCAAAAAGTTTTAAGTCATTTGCAAATACATAAAACTGGGAGTATGTCTCATCCATGAAACTATTTAAGTGAAAAATTTCATTTTCACTAAGTTTATAGCTGCACCTATTTCTAGATGCAGCAAACAGAGCTACAGTTAGTTTCTAGAGGACAAAGCGGGAATGAGTTATCTGATGATTGAATGTCTGCATTGAGTTTTATTAGGGCACAGTCATAGATAGCATTGCCAAGGGCGTTTTATTGTGGGGTAGGAGACATACTTACATTTTTGTTGTTTTCCTATGGGTGACACTGAAATCATATAGCAATTATTTTCTATTTACCCCAAAGAATGTCCTGTTTGACAAGAAATAATACAATCATCACTTTTCAATGAGGTTTGCAGACTCCCTAGTGCTTAGAGGCTGGGCCCTACTTTGTAAAAGACACAAATTATTTGTACTTTTGTACAAAACAAAAATTATGCATTCACTGCACACAGAGTTCTCCCTGAAGTTTATTCAAATCCTCTTTTGGTTCACCAAAACCTCGTGTGTATACAGGCCAGCTTGAAGTTAGCCTTGAACCTGTGTCCTCCTGCAGGTCCTCTTGTTTCACACACTCACTTTCTGACTGACTGTACACTTGCATTCACTAACATATGCTATATAGGCTGTGAAGCACTAACTTTTTAGAACTGGAATCAGAATTACCAATTAATGTGATGCTGGCTGCTACCACAGCATCACTGAGCTGTTAAAAAACATACATGTGGTACAAGTTGGAATAGCAACTGTTCATGAATTCCTGTGCAAAGGAATCTAGTTTCACATACAATTTACATTTTTGGTCAATAAGAGTTATACTGGACACATTCTTTTATCATTCACATCTGAGTGAGATTTTGTTTGTGGCTGTGACAAGAAATCATTCTGTCCCAGTAACAGCAAACAGTATCGGATAATCGTATCTTTGACCAGTGGTACCCGATTTTTCCAGAGTCCAGGCAGATACAAGTCACCCATCCACTAATCATCTGAAACACTAGCTCAGCAGAGCAACCAAGCTATATACAAAATTCCCCCCAATCACACTGATTTCCTGCTCTACATTCACTTTTGCACTTTTTGCAAATCAAATCCGCGTGGAAATGTTCTGTTTGTAGAACTCCTAGTATTCACTTATAGTGCTCATGTCAGTGCTGCTAAGTGAGTCAGAGCCCCTAATAACCTGCTTCTGATTGAACCCAGTGCACAGATAATGAAACATGTTCCCTTCATTTCTGATGTTTTAGACACTGCTGACTTATTTACCCTGCATGAGATTTAAGTTTCCTATTATTTGACAAATGTGCTATTCTTATACCACTTGAATGTACTGTCAGTTATTAAAGCACATGTGACTAAGTTTGCATTTGTCAGTATTGTTCCACTGTTTGTACTGAAAGTTTCCTAAAGTTGCCACTTAGCACGCTGTACTATAATAACCTTGTAATTTTCTAGATTCTTCACTTGTATGCTTTAAGTGTTTCCAGATGCCTTTAGTTTTAGCTGCTGTAAAATAGCTACTTTGTGTTATTTGATATAGAATTGTTTTTAAAAAATCTCCATTTATTTATACAAAGACATTTATATTTTACAAACATTCTTATATTCTAAATAAATATTTCTAATTCCAAGATGTACTTTAATTGTGTTCACTAAAGGGTAAGGCTGTCCTCCTGTAATACTATTTGTTTATCTATGTAAATACCAAACCTGTGATGTTTCACATTAAATCGCCAGTCCTAGGCAAAGCAGAGGCTAGAAGCCAGACTAGATAAGGTCAAAATAGTCCAAGAAACCACATTTATCACCAATTTTTTATTTGGCTGCCTTTTCAAGTTTAGTATGAATGGGAAATTATTAAGGAATATTTTTCCTTTTTAAAAAATTACTGAAGTGGAATATAATCAAGATTTGGAAATACAAGAAAGTCATACATGACTATAAGAATGTATGGTATACATCTTTGCAACATGTCACTTCTCACTATCAAGGCAATGTACCTTTGACAGTAAGAGTATAATACCTTGATCACTCATTATTTTAAATAAAAAGTGCTATCACATAATTCGGGTTTCTAGTAGAAAAGAATCTCCTTGAGATCCAAGAGCATTAAAAACCCAATCCTAGTAAAAATTCAAGAATTGCTGGATTTTATATATCTAACTCACAGTAAAATCTTCCTTTAAAGCCAACAACCAAACTGTATGTTTGAGGTGGAAAATACATACCAGTTCTTTCATTTTTTGCAGAGACATTCTACTATTTTTTCCTACATATGAGCATACCTGTATCCTATACTTGTCATTTGTTATTGTTCCAAAGAGATGCAATCATAGTATGAGTAACTTGGAACCTATAACAAGTAACAGCAGAAAACAAGTTAACGTAGTAAGTAAAACTGCCCAAGCAGCAAAATTTATTGATATTGCACTACAGTCTAAATTTAACATGATAATGTTTTCACACAAAGCCAATATTTGAACAATCAACTGAAAAGAAAATGTTTTAAAATACAAAGGAAACTTCCATCATTCAAATTGTATTTTGTAATTTCTAAATTGGTGTTACATCAAATAGCTTTCAAAAAGAATCTAACTGTTAAGACATAAGAATTTGTTCCTTTTCTCAGCTTGCATTTCTAGAAAACTTTGGAAGTACAGCAATCCTGCAAACATTAACTCCCAATTAATAAATATGAGTCATTCCTTTTTTATAATAGTCACATCCAAATTTAAATTGAAAATTAGTCATTTACACTGAGGGAGAGAGACAAAGCCAGAATGTAATAAACCCAGAAATACAATAAACCTGCTCTAAAGGTATCAACTGTTGTAACTACAGGGTGAATGAACCCAGCAGTTACAATTTTGGGGCTCCTTTTCTGCTCTCCCTGAAAGTTTGACAATTAACCAAAACAAGCACCAAGAATTTCATTAGTATATAGACAGAATCACTCCCAGTGTAAAGTTTACTTACACAGTCTTTCTCCAAACAGTAAAATTCCCTAAGGTAAAATAATAAAATCCTTCTATAATTTAAGGCAAAAATTAAATGTTAAATCATTTCACTTAAGACAACAGTGACAGTAGTCACATTTATTCTGAAGTCCAGTTTTCTCAATTGAACATCATACTTAGAACATCATACTTAGTGAAACCATTTCAATTTTTTTCTACCAGCTTTTTTTAAGTCCCGAGTAATTTGTTACATAACTCAGCATAAATATCTTCACCTTTTTCAGACTAACACTATTCCCAAGACAACTGTTTTTGAGACCACACATCTTCCGTGAGCATTACTTAGTCCCAACAGCATAAAAGACATTTGTTCATATCTTGCTTTGGAAATAAGCAGGGTATAAAACGGAATCAATTCTTTCTCCCTTCCTATTCAATAGTTTGCCTTTATTCTGCTTAGACAAAAGACTTATAACATTTCCCTTAAGATAGCTAATACATGAATTATAATTCCATTTGATTAACCATTTCTGAAATAACATTGGAATTTTCATTAAAGTCAACAAGTAAAATTAAAAATCTGAATCATATGAGTCAGTACCTACCAAAGACAATTTTATAAGGTATTAAAAGCCAACAGGCAAACTTCAAAAACAGTTGTAAGAAAAAAATGTGTG